TTGATGCTGTTGTCTTTCACCCCAAGAACTGTGGAAAAACACTTAGTCTCCTTCCGGAAAAGAGGTGAGTGGGGAGAAAGGGAAGACAGTAAGATGTAAAAATGGAAGGGAGAAACTTGTTGATATTTCCTAGTGACAAATCAAGCTCCTTACTTTATCCTGTAGTGGTTTTACACTGCCTTCAATTAACTTTCACGTATGTTACACTGAATCCACTTGCTGAAAAAAGCAACGCTGTCTTGGGAGTGCTGTAGACTGAGTCAGTTTGGCTATCTCCTGCCACCTTTTGAGATGCAGCACTTCTTCAAGTGAGACCCTTTCTTATCTCAACCTCCAGAGTGAACACCAGGTCCTTTATATTCTGCTTATTGCAGGGGAATGAATGCATGCCCTGCAGCCAGGGTGTCTAGTGCAGCATTTTAACTTGCATGGTCCCGAACCATTCTCGTTTCCTCCCAGCCAATTCTGATTTTTGTTACCTTTTTTTGGTATCACTTTTCTGTGGTTCTGCTGGGAGCATAAGTAGTTTCTGCCTTTGGAGTTACCTGACTAATTTCCTATGCGTTTTTATAGAGATTATAGAGTCCACAAATGTGGACTCACACTTCCATGCATCTGGGCGGTGTGAAAATCTTACCTGCTTTAGGTTCCAGATTACCAAGAAGAGTGAATGGTGCGCATCTCTAGAAAATAAATGCTTACTGTCTAGCGTTCTGTGTTGTCAAGTTAGACAACCTATTTTCAAAGTGTTTTTTTGTTGTTGTTGTTTTTTTTTCCCACTGACAATATACTAAAACATTATGGGGTCTGTGTTAAACATTTAAACCTCCACACATTTAAACCTTCTGTTTTAAATGGAAGTTTCATCAGTCCTTGACCGTCTCTTGTGGCTACCCTCCAGAAGCATTCACTCTAAATCCACTACTGGGAGTGGCTTGCCTGCACCTAGTTTCAGCTAGTTCTTATGTTAAACCTCAATGAGAGTTTTTTACGTGTTCAGAGAAGGTATAAATCATTGGCAGGCTCTTGGATCTTCATTTCCATCCTAAGAGGAAGGAAAAAAATGTTTGTTTGCTTAAAACTTCTGACATCTCCAGATGGAGGGAAGTGCAGGAGTATTCTGGATTTCATTGATTTAATTTTCTCAACAGCGTGATTGGAACCAGTTCGCTTCGTCGAGCAGCCCAGCTCAAAAAGAAGTTTCCTCATCTAGAATTCAGAGATATCGTATCCTTTCATGACAAATTGTGGGTTCTGGATAAAGCTCCATGAAGGGTAATAAAAGTTGATGCAAAATCTAGCATCAAGGCTGATTTATACTACCTGACTTCTTTCAGGACGGTATCCCGACTGATTCTAATCTGAAGACTGTTGGATTCTGTAAACACAGACAAGTTAATGTGAAGTGGTTGTAGGACTGCTTGCATGCTGTTTCTATACTTAACCGCTTTTACAGAGAGGGAATTTAAATACCCGCTTAAAGAAGCTCGATGAGAAGGAAGAGTTCAGTGCCATAATCCTGGCTGCTGCTGGGCTGAAGAGAATGGGCTGGGAGAATCGCATTGGTCAGGTGAGTGGCAAAGCATAGAATACTGTTCTGAATCTGCCTGCTTGCCTCTTAGACCTTGTGTTTGTCTCATTGAAGGCGTACATTTAGTTTGCTGAATCCATGGTCACATTCCCTTGAGATCTGATGTGGTTCAGGGAGGATTTGATTTGTTTGTTTCTCTTCATACATAATTTTTTTACCATGCGGCTTTCCACAGTGCAGTAACAGTTTGTAATATCTCCCAGCATGTCACAGTACTTGTGTGCAGCAGCACAGCAGTGCATGACTAAGACTTTTCAGGTTAACTAAGGAAGTGTTACTGCCCAGGTGAAGGAAGGTGCTTCTTCTCACCTTAGGGATGGAAACACCGAGGGGTGGGAAGGGGGAGGTGATATATCCGTGGTTGGGCATGAAATCAATGGTAGAGGTGAGCACAGAATTCAACTCCTGTTTCCTATGTTCTGAAAAATGCAATGTGATTTAATTCTGGTTTTACTTTCTTCCAGCTCCTGAGCCCTGAAGATTGCCTCTATGCTGTCGGACAGGTGTGTTACAGCTTTTCTACCGTACACCTGACTGCGTATGGAAAATGAGCAGCAGTAGGACATGTCAAGTGGTTGACTGTGGCAGTCAAATACTACGTTTGTGTTTGTTGCCAAAGAACAATTACATTGATCTTGTTGCCTGTTAGGCTGCTTATGCACAGCTTGTGGGAAGAACGTTAGTCAGCTTTATGAGCTTGTGTGGCAGGGGGCTGATTTCCATCAGCTATAGAAAGAGGTAAATGGTAGAGGTAATGTGTAGCATGACTACACTGGGGCAACTCTGCAAGTATCAGGCAGGCCGTGAATGTGGCAGGGTGAGTGTTGTGCAGTGCAGGGCTAATTGTGCAAAGCCACTACAGTATTTGCACTGTTACACTCCCTTACACACCTAACTCTGGCTGTGTGGAGCTGAAACACCTGCCTTGGGGCACACTGTTAGTGCTCTTGTTTCTAGGCAAACTGCTCCAGCCCATGCTGGGCATGTAGCTGAGTTTACAAAGTGTTGCACAGCTGGTATCAAACTTGAGAAATCTGAGCTGGCTGTGCATTAGTGATTGCAAGCATCATTATGTGCTGCAATTATTCTCCAGCCTGGGTGAATTCCCAGTGTGTAAACAGGAGTCAGAGAATCCTAGAATATCCTGAGTTGGAAGGGACCCACAAGGATCATTCTGATTTGTGACAACTGCTGAGTGTGCACAGAGATGCCTAAGTTGAGGATTTATTTATTTTTGTTATTATCTCCTTATAGGGGGCATTAGCAGTGGAAGTCCGTGCCAAAGACCAAGAAATACTGAATATGGTATCTGCCCTGCACGATGGAGAAACCGTACTATGCTGCATTGCTGAGAGGGCCTTTATGAAACGTTTGGTACGTGTGGCATCCTTGCTCTTCTTGCAGCGATCAGTACAGCTCTGCTACAGTTAAACTGATGTCCCGCTTTCTTAAAACTGCTAGTAGAGCCTATTTGTGATTTAGGAAGTGGGGTTTTGTGCAGCACGTACTTTTCAGGTGCTTCTGGTTTGAACATGTTGGGGAGAAAACTCCATTGTCAACTTTTTTGTTCTAGGAGGGTGGCTGTAGTGTCCCTGTTGCAGTTAGCAGCACGCTGAAAGATGGCCAGGTGAGGAATATTTTGTATTTATCTGGGATTATTTCTGGGGAACTGTACCAGTGTGTGCACATTCCCTGATACTTCCCTGAAGGCAACTCCAGCAGACATCTTTATGGTACAGTAGGGCAGATGGGGTTCTGACGCAAGCCTTCCAGGTTACTCTCTAAAACAGGACAATGAGAATGGGTCTGGTTACTGAGATCAAGTCTTTTAGAAAATCCCCTTATTATGATAGTTTATTTCCCCCTCACCTTCTCTAAAGGTAGTGTTGCCCTGTGGTCTGGATGTGTTGAACTCCAGAAAATCTGTGCTTTTATACAACAGACTATGATTAAGTAGGTGGGAAGTTATAAAAGAATTCAGCTTGTTCCTTGGAAGTTGCATCTTCTGTAAAAGGGATTACTTGTCTTAAAGCTCTGTCATGCTGCTATTCTAGCTGATCCTACTGGACTACAAAAGTGTTCCCTTCTAGGCTTGTCTGTGCATTTTGCGTGTTGTTTTTTAATGTGGCATTAATACCTTCTGTGTCTTTCAAAGTTGTATTTGACAGGTGCAGTCTACAGTTTGGATGGATCTGATAGCCTGAAAGAGACTATGCAGACCAGTGTTAGTTATCCGCAACAGGTACGTAAAGCACATTGGGTTCATAAGCCAAACCTGAAGTTGAATGACAAAACCAGACCTCTTGAAATCAATTACTTTTGGTCTGGTTCTTCAGTGTCTCAGCTTCAGTCCCTACCCCCTCCCCATTGCTGAGAGTTCTTGGAAACTCTGCACCAATGGTGTTCTCAACTTCCTTGACCAGGGGTTCTATCTCGTTTTTCATGTTCAATTCATTGTCCACACCTTCCTACTGCCTTACGTCGATACATTTATGTTTGCAGAATGAAGATGGACCAAATGACGATGTGCAGCACGTTGGCATCACAGCCAGGAATGTCGCTGGTCAGGCGCAGGAAGCTGCGGAGAACCTTGGTGTTGAACTGGCTAGTTTACTTCTGAGCAAGGGAGCTAAGCACATCCTGAGTGTGGCAAGGCAGCTTAATGATGCCTGCTAAACCTGTGGTGAGGTTTAGCAAGACTTGGAGCAAGATTGTTCCAAGTCTTGCTTCAGCCTTTGCAGCTGTTGTTATCAGCCTTTAGAGGGATTTTTTTAAACATTCACACCGGTCTTGCCTGATGTTTGGGCGCAGAAAAATATGCAATAATAAACTAATTCCAGAGTAGTGATGCTGATCAGGGATTTTATATCTGAAGCTTACTGAAAGATTTTTGTTGCTAGGGGGGAAAAAAAAGGTGTTTGCCTGTTGCGTTTAGGAATGGGGCACTGTAGTGTCCCAGTCTGACTAAAGTATTTTCAGTAATCACTGATTTTGTGTAATTGTGTACTATTTGGGCCTGTTCTCCCATCAGAAACGCTGAAGGAGAATGGTTAGGCTCTCATTACAGCATCTGTTAATTTTCCATGAGGAATGCTGTGTTCAAAATAATCCCATTGAGTTTTATCTTAAGCTATCAGATAATTTCTCACTTGCCCCTAATGAATTATTAAGTAACTGGTTAGCTATCTCATCTCATGTAGATGTAGCCTGAGATAGCCATTCATCCACTCTAGCCTTTGAGCTAAAGTCGAACAGTTGTGCCTTTCTCTGCAACTGGCAGCTCCTTGCTGTTACTGTGGTTCACAGCTGGAACATCCTGATGTGCTATTCTCTCCATCCTGGCAGCAGAGCTCAAGCATTACAGTGCCTTGTGTGAGAAACACCGAACCAGTCTGTTACAGGCTTCCTGTTCTGGAAACAAAGCATGGTTTATTCTCGGTGTACTGTCCACTGAATGCAACAGCAGATAAATACAGCCAAAGTCAGCACCCAAGAGTAAGTGTCTTTATGGAGCACCTCCTGTTTTGTGACTGAAGGAGCGTTTCGGGAGCCTTTATTGCCCTTTTTCCGGCTGCCTGCCCGCACGTGGCGTCTGCCAGTGCTTCCTGGAGCCCCCCGGACCCGTTCCTCGCAGCTCCGCAGCGCCGGCCAGCGGCCGGGAGGGCTGCAGGCGGCTCCACTCGCCCCCTGCCCCCTTCCAAACCCCGGCGGGACAGCGCCGCGGCTCCCCCCCCACCCCTTCAGATCGCAGCTCTCCCGGTGAGCAATGGGGTGGCCCTGAAAAGGGCCTTTGTGTGGTGCGGGGGGGGGGGGGGAGGGCGGCTTAATACTCCTGCGACTGCTGCCCGCCCTTCTTGCCGGCCTTGGTGGGGCCGGCGCTGCCTCCTCCCGTCTTCTTGGGCAGCAGCACGGCCTGGATGTTGGGCAGGACGCCGCCCTGCGCGATGGTGACGCCTCCCAGCAGCTTGTTGAGCTCCTCGTCGTTGCGCACGGCCAGCTGCAGGTGCCGGGGGATGATTCGCGTCTTCTTGTTGTCGCGGGCCGCGTTGCCCGCCAGCTCCAGGATCTCGGCCGTCAGGTACTCCAGCACGGCCGCCAGGTATACCGGGGCGCCGGCCCCGACCCGCTCCGCGTAGTGCCCGCGCCGCAGCAGCCGGTGGACGCGCCCGACGGGGAACTGCAGCCCGGCCCGGGACGAACGGGATTTGGCCTTAGCTCGGGCCTTACCGCCGCTCTTGCCACGGCCAGACATGGCGCCTCGCTGCCGTGCGCGCTCCGCGACCGCTCCCTCGCAGCTCTGCGGCGGAATGGAAGGGGGCGGCTCCGCCTCGCCCGCCTTTATCCCCGCAGGGCGCAGCTCATTGGTCGCCCCGCGGCGGAGCGCCCGCCGGATTGGCTCGCCCGCCGCTCCCGTGTCTCTGCCCGCCTCCGCCGCCGAGCCATTGGATGCGGCGAAGGGCCAATCGGCAGCCGAGGCGCCAAATTCAAACCGAGCCGTGACCGTTGGCGGCCTCGCTGAGGCGCTGGCCACCCCCTTGTGGCGCTGCGATTCTGTGGCGAGCCGCGGTGCCGGGCAAGGCCGTGCAAACGGGGCTGTGGGCGAGGAAAACCCAACTGCAGCCTGCAGGGCACCGACTCGGGGCTTCTACCAACGCCCGGTGTTATAACGGGCACGGTGAGCCCGTCTGCACAGCCCTGTTCTTGAGGCACCCTGCTCTGTAGAGGAATGCAGATAAAGATGTTCCGAAATAAGCCTCAGTGAAAACATTCCCAGTAGGTGTCAAGGAGGAAATTTCTGCCTGCTGCAGAAATGATCAGCCCCTGGCAGGGTAGGACGCAGAGGTACCGTGTCAATATTTTCAAGGCAAAGCATCAGAGGGGAAAGGGTACCTTGAGTTCTTTTATTCTCAGAGTGCTCTGAATTTTGGGTATGATTTATAACAATATTCTATGTCCGTTCTGCTCTGCTGTAGAGTCTTACAGAAATAGAAGTTCCTGTTTTCTCTCAGGGAACGGAAAGGCGCTTCTTGAATTCATAGCGGTTTCATCTCTTCCCCCTTTCCCTAAACATTGTGTGTTTTAAAAAAAAAAAAAAAAAGGCGGGTTCCTTAATTCCCCTCTCAAAGGTAATCTCATTAACAGTGATGTCCAAGTAGCGTTGAATCTCTTCTGTCAGCAGAACTGGACAAAAGACCTCTGTGCACAGAAAGAAGATTGTGATTCTGGACAGGCCCAGAGATCAGCTTGCCTTTTGAAAGGTGGCCTGATGCTCTCAGAGGACCAGAATAAGATCATTTGAATTATTTGGTCAGCAACTGGAGGAAGTTGACTCTAAAGTGCAACTCTTACCACTGGCTCCTTGCAGCCTAGTCAGACATCATAAAACAACCGCACTAGTTGGTACCGGATTGAAAATGCAATCGCACTCCCCAGGACCTAGGTATAAAAAAAAAAATTATACTGTGTTATATTATAGTAGGCAAGAAAGTTCACATGTTGAATATAAGTAGCAGCGCTATCTGCAAGGCATTCTAAGTTGCATCAGAATGTTCCCACACCCCACTGTGACTTCAGCTCATGGAGTTCTATGCCATATTTATGCACGTTGTGTGAAGAGTGTGACGCTTTACTTCCCTCTTTCACCCTTGAAACTCTTGAGACTGATTTGGATCTGTTTTTACCACAGGGTATATTTCGTTGCTGGTGGGACTGTGTGTCTGACCTGGATGAGTAGCAACAGGAGAGTGAGATTTCGCTCGTGGGTGGGTCCAATCAGTTTTATAACAAAGTTAATAAGTGTCATGTTATTGCACTCGGTGTATTCGCCATCTTCATCCATTCCACTTCTCACGTCTACTATGTGCAAGCTCTTTACTGCCTAGGGAAAGAAATATTGCATGCTATTTCATCAGCTGTGTTTAGTGCTCTTTGCTAGCTCTGTTTTTTGTTCTACTATCCCAGTAGTTTGGCTTGTACTCTTTAAAAGAAAAAAAAAAAAGAAAGGACAGGCTAGGGATGGTCCTGGGACCACTGCTGTGTATGGTTATTTTACAAGAACAATTATTAACATGGTTGGATGACTGTGAGAGACAGTGACTGGGCTAAGTAGAATGCGTTCTGGATTTGAGCCAGGAAACAACCACTGAACCCAGAAATTGTCTTCCCTCACATCCTGTGGTTCCTGCATGTAATTGCTGCCTCAAAGCAGGTCTGGATTTGGAATGTTTTCCTGGTATTACCTTCAGAGTGTATGCTCCCAGGGCTGAGAGGCTCTTAGTTTTGAATTTGGAGTAGCTCATCTCCAACTTCCCTGTACTAGGATTGAGCCTAAAAGGAACATTAAAGTCTTAGTCCGGATAGAGCAAGGAAACAGTGATACCTATACCTATGTAAGCAGATTTAGAAACCGAGACAAGTTGCTGAGAAAGAAATCCATTGGTGAAAAAAAAAAAAAAGGCAGGAATAATCTGTTAATAATTAACAACAGCTGCTGATACCTGATTCCTCAGACTGGGCAGTTGGAAGAAGACACTTCCGCCCCCCCTTCCACCCAATGCATGCATAAAACTAAAGGTTTTAAAAAATAGAAGAACTGAATATATGCCGATATGATCACAAACACAGACAGCATTATGGCAGTGTCACAGAATGCTTGCTTCTATGAAACTTTAGCAGAGGCTACTGCAACAGCATTCCTCTGTCTTGGAGCTGAGAATAATCATATTCTAACAGTCCTTATTTTTTTTTGAGAAGCCTGTACTGCTTGACTCAACCACAAGTAGCACAGCAGGCCAGATTTTAATTACACAACCTACCTCAACAGGTTTTAAAAAGAGGACCAACCAACACCTGCTCTTGTTTCTCAGCTGCTATGGGAGACAAAAGACACCATCTCTAGTACTGCTATAGGTCACTCAAGTACATTACCTTGGCAGCCGGTGACGGGGACAAGGAATGACATGGAAGAGTTGAGGCAATGAGTAGAGGAAGTTGAGCACTTGCGGGATGAAAAAAAGCAGCATTGTTTTGCTGAAGTGCCCCAAGATGCCCACCACAGCAAAGGTCATGCCAGCAAAGTAGCAGAAAGTGTCCCCAACAAACACTTGGGATGGGTACCTGCAGTCCGTAGGGCAAAAGAACAAAGGTTTGTTATGATCACAGTTTCTAAGAAAATGACTTTATAATCACTGAATGCATTCCTAGGTGGCAGGTTGGGGGGCAAGAGAAATGTTAAGCCTCAGCTGGCTTCTTCTCAGGTACTGAAGATAACTCCTTGTCTGCTTAAAAGAAGCATAGCAACGCTTTTATGGGATACTAACAGGTACCTGCTACCACTGTAGTCTACAAAACTCTACCCACCACCAATCCACACAATGAAAACACCAATTGCAGGTGTAAATATGCTGAAAACTGTCCTGCACTGTGACTTGCAGAGAATACAATGTATAAATAAAAGCAGTGAGACGTGAGGTAGGATATTCCATGCATTTTAGTGAATCAGTGTGATCTGAATTGTTCTCGTAAACCCAAAAGCTACCAGTGGGTTGTTGCCTTGCATTCATGGTTCTGGCAAGAAGCTTGTCTATGCTCCACTATCCCGCTTGCATGTCGGTAAACATTTTTGTTTATGGAGGGTAAAAGTCAAGAGAGTGCGTTTCCAAAGAAATGCTGAATGTCCATCCTCTTACCAGTTGTGATAAAACAGGCCCAGCGTGGTAAAAAAAAAGGGAATCATAAAGTAGAGAGAAAAAATGTGATCATCCTGATAATCCCCTAAAGAAAAAAAGAAACAAAATAAGTTTGTTCTAAGACAGGACTAGGTTATTTTTACGAGCAGCTAAAATCTAGGATTCTATTTCTCTTTGCTTTTTTTTTGTACCGGCTCAGCGTGTCATTTCCTTACCGTTTAACTCTACGATGTTGAATACGATAATGGAAGCAGCAATCACCAGAGACTGCCCTGCTTCGATTCCATTGATTCCAGCCAGAATGTTGATGGCGTTGGTACAAAACACTGCCAGCATCCCCATGTACACGTAGTAGAGGATACCTGTGGGTAAGAGTGAGCCAAATACTTCAGCATGCAGATTTGAAACAGGCTCTAGTCCAATTTGCTTCAACTTTCCTGCTTTGGATGACAATCTATTATCTGGTGTCTCGGTAAATTTTGAAGTCAGTAGCTTTCTAACAAATAGCGCCCCTTCCCCTGAATTTTACGTGTACACACGTAAAATGTTGGTGACGCGCCCTCTCACTCTTTATTTAGCAAATCCTTCACGGGTTCCCTCTGCAGCACAGGGATTTCAATCTGCTACGTGTTAACATTTCAGACGAGCCCCTCTGGCTGTCACCGATTGCTTTGACGATGTTTTTTGTGCTCTGAACTTACCCAGGTCCAAGTGCATGCCCAGCAGAACGCGGAAGGGCTTGGGCACCACAATGGTCGTGTTCCCAAAGTTGGTGAAGTACACCATGAGCAATGGGAGGGAGGCCATGGTAGGAAGAAGGAGCTTGTGGCGCCAGCGCAGGTTCAAGACATCATCTGCAAAGCCCAGGAAAATCATGCAGCAAATGGCAAGGAGCGAGCCGATGAGCTCCACGAACTGAAGGACAGAGAACAGCGCTCCGGTTACCGGCGCCCACCCTGCGCCCACCGCGCTCCGGGCGCCGGCCGAGCCCTACCTCGTCGTACGGGAAGGCCGCGCAGCCGTCCTCCACGAAGCAGCGCAGGAAGGGCACGGGGATGAAGCAGAAGAGGATGATGAGGAACACGGCGCCGCTGATCACGCCCTGCGCCTCCGGCCTGCGGGCAACCAACGGGAGGCGGTGAGCGCCGCACGGCACCGCACGGCCCCGCGCGGGGCACCGGGGGAGCCGCTACTCACACGGGCCGCCGCGACGTCTTGTTGAGGTCCTGCCCGAAGAGCCGCGCCGCCACGAAGCGCTCCTTGAAGGCCGGGATCAAGGTCAGCGTGGCCGCCATGCCCAGCAGCGAGCCGCACAGGTTGATGGCCAGCGGCACGGCCGGCCAGGCCGCCATGGCCGCCTGACAGGGATGGGGGAAGGAGGTGCTGGCTGCGCGCGCACCCCCTCCGACGCACAAAGCGCCATCTTTGAGCCTGGCAAAAGCGCCGCGGTGGGGAGCCAGCTGTGCTCCTCCCGCTCTGCCCTCAACCAACATGGCCGCCTCGGCGCTGCCCAGCCGCGCGCCGCCCCGGCTCCGCCGCCAGGTACGTCACTTCTGCCCCCGCGGGAGGCGGGGTCGGCCCCGTCGGCGGGGCGCCGTGAGGGGACGGCCCGGGGAGCGGCGGAGGCTGAGGGGAGCTCCCAGAGCTGGGGGCGCCTCACGGGGATGCGTGGGGGAGCGCCGCAAGGGAGAGCTGAGGGGACCGGGGGGAGGAGGGAGCGTTTCCTGAAGCGCCGGGGGAGAAAAAGTGAAATAAAAGAATAAAAATATCAATAAATAAAAAGGAAATCAACTTATCCCGGGTCTTTCTGCGCCAGGACGCCCGTAACGGGTGTTTAGATCTTCAGGGGAAGGGGGCTGGTGGCAAGGACCGGCCTGATCCTGCCCGCTGGGCTCTGCTGGAGTCACCGAGCAGGTGCAAAGGCAGCAGGGCAGCGGGTCTGGGAGCAGCAAGAAGCATTTCCCTCTGCCTGTGCCTGAAGCACGGGGACCTGAGGTGGTTTCTGATGGCTTCTGTGCTGACCGGCAGCTGCTGCTGCACTGAAAGAGGTGTTTTCTGCTCTGCTGTCTGCTGAATTGCTGTAAAAGCTGGTAAGCTGTAGCTGAGCCTTAAATAAATAAGTTTTGAGGCAGGCAGGTGGTTGGCCAGAGAGCCTCCTGCAGATGTAGCCCCATGGAAGGTGACTTGTGAGGAAAGGAGGTGAAAGCATTTGCTGCTGCCCCCCTCCAGCAGGGTTGGCTGGAGCTGAGAGCAGGCAACTGAATAGCTTACAGCCCTGCTGCGAATGTGTCCGTCAGTCAGCACAGCTGGAAAAAGAGGAGTTCAGAGAAGGCTGTTTTTAAGCGAGAGAAACAGAAAGGCTGTCGGGGAGCTCATCGCCCTGACCGCGTTTGCCTTGCTCTTTCAGGCTGCCGGAAGAGAAGGCTCCCAACAACAGCAGAACGACGAGGTTGCCTGGACAGACCTAAAACCATACAACCCAGGATGAAGAACCTGCCCGCGAGGAATGGTGAAGGAAGCTGCGTGCCATGGCCAGGTCGGTGTTGGGAGTGTTCAGCCTCCCGCCGCCGTTGTGCGCAGGCGGCGGCCGCGAGCGGCGGGGGCCGAGCCCGGCCCACGTGCGCCGCGGGGCTGGGGGAAGGGAAAGGCGGCGCGGCCCAGGCCCGCATCCTCTCCTCTCCTTTCCTTTCCTCTGGTCCGGGATGCCACCCGGCCCGCCGTGAGGCACCGCGCCATGGGGCCGGATCCAGGCTGGAGCGCGCTGGTGCTGCTCTTCGCCGCCTCGCTGCTCACCGTCGCGGCCTGGCTGCTCCAGTACTGGCGGGCGGCGGCCCTGCGGGTGCTGTGGCGGCGGCGGCGGCCGCCGGTGGTGGCGGAGGAGGAAGCCGGGGCCCGGGCGCTGCTCGCCGCGCTGCTCGCCCTCCGGTCCCTGCGGGAGCAGTGGCAGCGGGCCTGGGTGCGGGCCCTCAACAGCCAGGCGCGCCGGCACGGGGTATGGCAGGGCATGGGCGGGCTGGGCCACGGTGGTGGTGTTGGCGGTGGGCTGAGGGAGGGTATTTAGCTTTTGGGCGAGCGGGGCTGCGACCCCTTTGTCCTCAGGCTCTGAGGAATCCTCCGTTAGCGGGCTGCCGGTCAGGGACCCTGTGGTGTGGGCTGAGCTGTGCTGGCAAATGCTTGGTGTGCCAGCTTCGCTTTTTGGGCTGCTGCATGGTGCTCTCTTCTGTGCTTGAGGGATGGGGTGCGTAATAAATGTGAGCATAATGTGGTTTTACAAACTTTGAGAAGTAGGTGTTCGGCAGCACCTCTTGCTTAAAAGGGTCTGGGGCCTAAACCTTAGGTCTTCCCTTCCACAAGGAAGTAATTTCACAGGAGCTCATGTTACCTGCAAGGCAACGGCTTTTGCCTGCAAAAAAAAAAAAAAAAAAAAGGCAAAAAGAGCTTCGACAAGGGGAGGTGATTGACCACTACGTGGGAGAGTAGTTTGTCTCAAGGCAGGTTTTGTTTTTGGGTGCTCTTGAAAGAGAGAGAGTACTGATGAGGTGAGGCTATGGTGAGACTGGAAGTCCTCTGGTCGTGGGGAGAAAGGACTGATTCGATACTCTGGACTGACCCTAGGTAGGTGAATATGCAGATCTGGTGGAGGAGGCTTGCAAGAAGAGGAAATGGCTGGTCTAACTATTATGAAATGAGAAAATGCCCAAGACAGTACAGGACTGCAAGGGACTTTAGCCTGCATGTGAACTATCTGCATATGGGGTGACAGTTAACAGTGAGGGATAGTTAGGTTTTTGCTGTCCTTGCCCTTTCTTCAGTGCTGGGTATGGGGAGGCAGTGGAGGATGGGGTTTGAGGAGTTGTGGTCCCGTTGTCCAAAAGCTTGTCAGCTGGCAGTGGGAAGCGACCCGTTTCTCCACTGAGCCTTTCAGTTAGACTTGCTTATCTTCTGTGAAAATGCCTGGGATGCTGTGACCACCGGGAACTAACGGATCTCTATTTTCATAGAGTTCAGTGCAAATCACATTTGAAGAGGGTCCTCAGTTGCCACCAGCAGCAAATATAAGCTGTGTGACGTGCAAAGGCCAGTCGGACTGCAGCATGGTAAGGCTTTGCTGTTCTGAATTGTAGCATGTCTGTTGACTGATGGCGTGTGCTACAGAGATTGCCAACACTCGTGTAATAGAGATTGCAGCTCTGGGGCTGTACATCCGTGAGCTCTGCAAGAGCAGGTACAGCTGAGGTGTAGGGGTGCTGAATCTGAGTATCAGGGTAGTGCAGTGGAGAGAAGAGAGCTTCTGTCACTGATATATTCTTATCGTCTCATGTGTGGAGTCTTAAGTGGCAGATTTGCAGTACAGATCTGCAGCTGACAGTAAGCCTGATGTTTCTTTGCCACAATGTGTCAACCTTGCCTATTGCTTTTATAGGTCTTGCCATCTTGCTTCCGCTTCTTACCAAGGACATAAACCTATTTGCTTCCTTTTCTCTATAGGTGCTTTACTGCCATCTGTCTGCAGAAGCCGTGAAATTCCCTGTCTCTGTAACGCAGCAATCCCCAGCTGCTGTTTCTGTGGATACGTATCATGTCACTTTGTCTCTGCTGCAGGCTAAGGTAATGGTTGTAAAAAGTTTGCCATTGAATTTGTTCTTTTACCTAGCCAGGTAAAGTTATTTATGCTCGGTTAGTTATTTGACTACTGTGTCCCAGACCTGTTGCTTTCAACAGATCACCTTAGATGTTCGTGTTGAAAAAAAAGTTCAAAAGTTGTTTGTCTTTCAATTATTTCTGAGCTATGTTAAATTTTATTGCACTGTTTTTACTAGAGACGCTGAGTCAGGAGTTCTTCCTCTGTCATTCTGTTTCTGTATTAATGATGTCCTTATTCTGTGTGGGTGCGGGACTTCTGAACTACAGCATGCTGTACGGGCTGGTTTGTTGTTGCAGACTGTTGGTGACCTGGATGAGTTTTCAGGCACAGCTCGTCTCCTAGAGACTTACAAATGGCTGTGCTTATGTTTGGTGATGATTAATAGATGTAGCTCAGCAAATACCCTGTATTAGTACCCAACTTGCTCTTTCAGATTGTCTTGCAGGCTGTGTCTTTGACCAAAGAAATAACAAAGTTTTCGCCTCTGACTGGCTTCTGGGCATCCAAAGGCAGTGAGAAAGCTGGGTCTGAGTGTGAAGTGATGAAACTTCTGCATTTCGTAACTCTCAGAGGCACAGGACCACCTATGTCCTTACTTTCTGTCTTTAATTGCTGCACGGACTGGTGTGGGGCCCTTTTTGTTGATGAATTTGAAACAGGGCAGAAAGTGCCTGATAAAAACAGAGTGTTCCTGACTGCTTGTTTGTTCTGGATCAGGTGGAGATCCACTTGGAGGAGATACAGAATGAGGGTCTCCTGGTGTCGTGGACGTTCAAGGACAGGCCAGACTTGAATCTGTCAGTTCTTCCAAGATTTCAACCTCATGAGGTAAGCAAACAGGGGGAAGCTGGACTTGAGCAGAGGAAGGGCAGAGAGGGTGGAAACAGTGTGCAGACAGCAAGAAGGCTGCTGCAAAGGAGAGAGTTTGGCAGCTCACTGTTGTGGCCCTTCTGTGGCAAGGGAGGGGGTTCTTTCACCCTGGAATCAATGCTAGCTCAGCTATGTGAAGAGTTCATCCTAAGAGAGCTGAAGCAGTACTGATGCCTGTTTTCCAAAAGCAAAAAAGGCTTTTAGTCCGTGTAGGTTCTCCTGCTGTTGTTACCAAATGTGTAGCTGCAAAATGAGCTGGGGTATTTATTTTTTTTGGAGTTGTAAAGCGTACAGAAGCCATAGGTATTAGTGACTTGATGAGCTGAACACCGATGTGTTTGCGCTTCTGTGCCCCAAACAGTTCTGTCTGTTAGTTTTATTGACACCCTTGTTGCCTTATACTGAGTAGATGTAGGAATTCAGCTGTTCTTGTGAGGGTGTGGTAGCACCACCTCATGAGGCAGTGATGATGTGGCAAACTCTGAAGGCTTTATTGTCAAAATTTGTAATAGATGGGCTACAAATGGAAAAGGTCGGTTTGTCTTGTTCATGCAGGTTATACTTGCCTGCAGCTATTACAGCAAAGCTCAGGCACTGAGGAGGAGGCATACAGGATAGAGGAAGAGTGTATAGGAGGGTATGACTAGGAGAAAGGCCGTGTAGAGCCTTGAGAGGCAGTTGTAGCTGTATAAGGAGAAAATGTATCTGCCTTGTTATGACGTTCCTGTGTTTCCTTTTGATTTGTGGAGAGAAGAATGACGGGAGAGTGGGTCTGTCTACCATAAAGGATCTGATCGAGGATACCATTGTCAGCACACAGCCAGCCTTGATGGTACACCTGAAAGCCTGCACCGCAGGAACTGGGGTGGTAAGGCTCTCTTCTTGTGATATTCATGCCTTGAACACTGGGGTGCTTCTGAGGGCTGAGACTTAGGCAGGAATCCAAGGGCTAAGCCTCATTTCTGAGCAACAGCCACATCCCTGGCTGTGCTGTCATAGGAACTGGGGTATTGTGGCGTGGGAAGCAGGGAGAATTAGAGTGGGACAGACCTTCAGCAGTGTAGTCATCTTCAGTTCCCCTTCTAGTAGCCAGGAAGCTCATTCCTGTCTGTCTCTTTTCCTGTCTGCCTTAAATTTCATATCTTAAGTAAGCTGGGGGCTAGCTGGAGGTCTGTAGCTGGGGGGGCTGCAGTGTCTCTGGATGGCTTTGTGGGTATTCCCATGAGGAGCACTTGGGAGGTGCAAGCACAAATGCTGTGTGTCTTACACTGCTGACAAGAGAATGATAAAGGTGTCAGTCTTCCTCTCATCATTCCTCAGGTATCCAGCAGTAAATCGACTCGAGATTCCCCGCCGGTGTAGTAGCAGGCCCTCTAGGTTCCAAGCTTTTCCTACGGAATCTTCACGTGCTGAACTTGGGCTCCCAGGAAAAGGCAGGTAAGCCTTAAAACGTGGTTCATCTGAAGCAGGGGAAGTGCAGAAATGGTGAGGTGAGAGTGCGTGGATGTTTTGGGTGGCTTTGAATGGCAATATGCACACGTGTCCACTGAACTCTGCCTTGTGTTAACAGGTGCACATGTGCTCTCTTTCTCTGTTGCAGGAGTTGAGGAGATCTGCTGTGTCGTAGAGCTAGACAGTCCCCCACAGCAGAAATGGATGAGGCCATTGACAGCTGGGAGTGCCAGCACTGCTGCAGAGATGGAGTGGAACGAGGAGCTCGTTCTGTAAGTGCCTGCTGGTCTCTTGGTCCTCACAGTGGAGGCAGACTGGCAGAGTCTCTGGGTGTCATTACCACACAGCAGTAACTGATGCAGGTGGCGTGGAGGTGATGTCTGTACAGCAGGATGGTGTGTGACCGTGCTGCCTGTGTGCTGGGCTGTGAGTTCCAGTGATCAGCCCCAACTCATGTACATATTATTTCCTGCTTCCCTGAATAGTGTGTGTTTTAACTGGATGGACAGAAGTGCTGAGCATGGGGAGTGTGGGGGCAGGACTTCTCTGCCTTCCAGACAAGTTTGCTATCTTAACTTGCCCTGACAGCGTACGCAGCCCTGCATGGGACAGAAACTTGAGTTTTCCCTCTTCTTGCTTGCTGCCCCTTCTTGTGTCCTCCAAAATAATACACACTTACAGGAACTTTGGAAAGATGATGAGGGATGTGAGATTTGTGGGAGGGAAAATACATAATGGTCTTGTTTACTCTGGTAATTTTGCAAAGACTGCCTAATAGCAGCCTGTCTATTTCTGTTTCAACAGTGATTTGGGACCTAGAAGTAAGGAGCTGAAGCTACAGGTGCTGGGGAGCAGCGGCAGAGGTGAAGGTAAGTACAGGAAGCCATAAAATGTGTTCTAAGACAAGGTGACAAAAATGCCTAAGGGACTTGCTGTGCTTTGAGCCTGTGGATCTTCTTTGTAGTTATGATGTATTATGAACAGGATTATATCTGATGTCTGCACAGGAGTTTTGTATCCAACTTTTTGTGAGCCTTTGACTGGGTGAAGTAACTCTCAAGTCTGTTGTTCTTAGTGACCTTTTTGGTACCTGGGAGGTTCCTGTGGCCTGCACTTCCTAACCTAAAAGCAGCGAGAGGGATGTAGTAGAGCCAAGGGCATCTGATTTGTTGGCCTGTGGGACCACTTTCCAAAAGCACAGGGAGCTTGTGAGACGTCTGAGGTGCTGAAGTTGTCGTATTTTCTTTCTTTTTCTCTCCTCTTCCCTCTTGCAGATGTGCTGCTGGCCCATACTACTCTTTTGCTTGATCCTTCGAGCAAACGGCCATCCGGGAGACAGATCTGCTCTCTGGCCCCCGGACCTGGGCAGTCGCTGGCAGCTGAAGCTACCATTGTACTGGAGGTGAGCAGGCAACCCAGCTGTGTGAACGCATGATCTGGAAATATTTATAATGCGAGGCTCTAGCTGGAAACCAGCATTACTAGGCCTGCGCTTGTGGCAGGGGACAAACAGCCCCCTAGGTCGAGGAGGTGTATCACCTTGCCCTTAGTGCCTGAGCTTTCCTCTGTTCGGCTGACATTGTAGTGAGAATGGCTCCTTGGTGCCTGGAGGGGTGGCTTTTGTCATCCCTGTTGCCTGCCTTTACTTCTGGGAGGAGGAGAGCCCCCTCTGAGCTGTGTCTTACTCTTTGTAGCTCTTATACCAGGATTCTTCTACATCTCTAAATGCTCAGCACGCCACATCTCTGCGTACCAGCATCACCCCCACCAAGAAGGTGGAGATGGACCGGACCATCATGCCTGATGGCACAATCGTGACTACTGTCACCACAATTCAGTCCCGGCCCAAAGCCGACTGCAAGCTGGGTGAGGCTGCCCTAAGGCAGGAGTCTTGTCAAGGTGGCGTGGGTTGGGGCGTATTCCTGAGGCTGTTCACACAGGCAGCAGGAAAACTGTTCAGCCATTGTATGTTGTGGTTGTTGTGCACCTTAAGGATTGGATGGGTGGGTGGTGCTTTTAGCTTCTGAGTTATTAATGTCTGGAGGATGTCTGGAGACGAGTACGTAGCCTTGAGGGAGGGAATTGAGGAGATCAATTTGAGGGGAGCAACTGGGGAGAGCTGTGAGAGGGACAAGCCTCTCTGACATCTTCTGGTGGCAGGTCTGAGCTGTGTATGCTGGTGTTGCATAGCTTCTGCATGATGTGCTAAGTGTTGTGGCTTTCTTCCTCTTTTTTTTCATCACCGCTAAGTAAATTATGCTCTGGGTACTGATGGCAGGCTTGAAAATATGTCGCCCTTGCTTGCCAGTCATTGGTGCTGCTCAGTGTCTGCCTGATGTCTTGGTTAATGTGGTGCTGGATATTCTGTGAGGCAGGGCTGGGAAACAGCACAAACCTTGTGACAGGGCTGCTTCGCATGTCTTGTTCCAGAAGGCTTCTTGCAACTTCAGTGCTGCACAGCCTCAGTGGCAGCAGACTCTGCAGGCTCTCTGTGGGCAGTGGGGAGGAGGGGCACAATACGGTGACGAAGTTGCCTAAACTTCATCTCCACTGACTGTTGTCTCTGCCTGTCTTTCACCTGTGAAGATTCACCCTCAAGATCGCCATCCAAGGTGGAAGTAACTGAAAAGAAGACAACGGTTCTTTTGGAGAGCAGCTGTCCTCGCAGCCTCTTGGCCAGCAGTAGCAGTAAGTGCGTGCAAGTCAGAAGTTCTTACTGGAGCGAGGATGTTCCTTAGCCTTTCTAGAAGAGTGTCTGTCTGAATGTGCTGCAGAAGAGGAAGTCCAAGTGATTGAGTGAAGAGGGTAAGGGGGAGGGCAGGTAAAAGAAATTCCGCCCATGACTGTGGGTGTTTTCTTGCGTGACAAGAACATCCCTAAGTTAGCTGGAGCCAATGAGATTTGGTCATGTTGTACTTGGCATCTCCTTTTTGTCTCTGAGACAGAACGCTGCAGCTCTTTGGATGCTTTGTGGCTGAGGCTGGGAGACCTCCTGGGAGTCTTTGGAAGTCTTTCTGAAGTGGGAGGTGGGAGTGGTGTTTTAATGATATGCCTGTAGGAACTTCAAACTTTACAGGTGCCTGAAAGACTCGAGAGCTCTACAGAGCGTTCTCCTTTTAGTTTGTTTGGGCAAGTCTGTAATAAATAGTGTTCTCTCCCTTCATGTCCACATAGTTGCCTATTAAAAGCATCGTGATCAGCAAGTGACCTCTTCCCTGTGCTGAAGGATGCTACTTCAAGTGTTGGTATCTTTCTTGTCGCTCAGGGGACAGCCAGATGCCTAATGGCTTGGATCCGGTGGCTGAGACGGCAATCAGGCAGCTAACTGAGACAAATAACAAGCCCGCCAAGAAGACCCCAACAAAACGTAGCACGCTGATCATCTCGGGAGTTTCCAAGGTCTCTGGCAGTTAGGGGGCTCCGTTTCCTGTCTGGGAGGCTATTTCTGTGCATGTCTGTGTAAAACGACCCTGTCCTGTAGGGAATGGTGTGGAAAAGTACCGGCACAGAGGACTTGCTCAGCTTTTTGCTGCTTCCTTGCATTTTGTCGCTGCTTCCCATCAAAGGTACCTCGCCAGGCTGCAGGGCAGCTGCCAATGGAAGCTCACAAAGCATTGGCAGCAGAAAGGGAAGCTTTTGCATTAGTCGGGAGCCTCATGGAGAATGTAAGGAGTTATTCTGAGACTTTCCTGTGTGAGAGAGGGAAGTGCTGCAAAATGCCATGGAATCAGGTATCTTCCAGTGTGTTTCAGCAAAAAGTGACTGCTGCACATCTGTGCTTTTTTTTTTTAGCGCTGATGAGAAGAATCGGAGAGAAATGCAATCCTTTAGACTCTGTCTTCCTGTCTGACTTTTTAACCCCCTGCAGGTACCTATTGCTCAGGATGAAATGGCACTTTCTCTGGGTTATGCTGCATCCATGGAGGCCACAGTGTACGGGGCTTCTGGGGCGCTGAGTGCAGCGGAGCAGATGCACGATTCCACTGAGTCGTCACAGCTGCTGGAAGCGTCACCATCAGGACCAGGGGCCAGTCAGGAGCTGGATGAGACAACGCGATCAGACATCTCCGAGAGACCATCCATGGAAGATGTTGAATCCGAAACTGGCTCCACAGGAGCCCTTGAGACTAGGAGCTTGAAAGATCACAAAGGTGAGGTATTGCAGTCTGTCCTGAATGTAGACTTTGCCTTGAGGCTGGGAGCTGAGATTCGCTGCCCTGCTGTATGCTTTTGCTGCTCAGGACAAAAGAGGTCTCTGCCTCTTGTATTTGGTGCATTTGTTGCCCCTGAGACTTGCCAGGGCAGGATGCCATCGTTGTTTCCATCTCCTTCTCTCTGTCTTTGCAGTTAGTTTTCTTCGGAGTGGTACCAAGCTCATCTTCAGGAGAAAGACCAAGCAGAAAGAAGCTGGCCTGAGCCAGTCTCACGATGACTTGACCAATGTCACCACTAGTTCTGCCAGCAAGAAGAAAGCCGGCAGCTTCTCCCACCGCCTCATCAAACGCTTCTCCTTCAAGTCTAAATCCCAAACCTAAAGCTAATGACAACACAACAGGTGAGAACTGAAGGAGGGAGATACTGGTTGGAAAGATCATACAGAAATCCTCTCTTAGTCTTTTGTCTTCCCGCTCCATGGTATGTGAGATCTGCAGTCCGGTTCCTTCCAACCTTGGCGGAGGGAAGACACCCCAGTGCTTTACACTGTTTGGGGAGCAAAGGTGGCATACCCAGGGCTGAGACTGCACAGCCTTCTGTGACTGTTATGCTCTCCCCAAAAAAATCCAGCAGGCATGCTAATCCCCGTGGGGTTCCCAGGAGCTGCAGAAGTGACTCTGTCCGGCTGTCCAGCTTCACTAGGCGCTTCCTGGCACCTGTCAAGTGACAGCCTCGGAGTTAAAAAAACTGAGAAACTGCCAAGTTAGCTGCATTTTCGAGAGCTGCGGTATGTAGCCTTGCTCGATTCTGCTCTTGAGAGAGAATGGTGCGGTTGCTGACCATTCTGTTGTTGCTCCTGCTCGATGCAGAGGCTGTAACGTGACTGAGGTGTGGTGTGGGACGATGTGTGCGTTCCTGGGCTATGTGCTGTGAGCAGAACAAGCTGCTGTTCCCCACCCAGATTGGCTATTGGAATGGTCTCCGTTTCAGAAGGTGTGAAAGGTGCCTTTTTTCTGTGCTACACTGATGAAGAAAGGAGTCTCTAAGAAGAAGGAAACCTTAACCACTAGACGAGTTTTTGTAGAAGACCCAGTCCTTGCAAGAACATCCGTTTGCTGCTTTTGGTGCTTCTTTGTCAATGTTCTGGAGTGGGGAAGGGGCCATGGGACGTATTTGTACCAGCCATCTTCCTGTACAAGTGGAAACGTTTTCCTTGTGGGTGGTTAGGGCCATCTCTGGTAGGGCACAGGGGAAACGGAGGCTGTGGTCCAGTTCTGTGGTTCTCCTTAGCAGTTCTGACTCCAGTGCCTGATGTGCTGGGGATGAACAGTGAGGAACGTGGCAGTGTGAAGTGGAACCTGAGTGAAGAGCTTACGTGTTTGCACTGATGAACAGCATTTCTTGTAGCAGAAAGAGCCTTTCCTGATGGCATGGGAAATAACCTCCTTGTAGAAAATGTTATCCTCTACGTTTAAAGCGTGGGCCTTTCTGCAGTGGGTGTTCCTTGAGGGAGAGCTGCATGGGGGAAAAATCAGCTGCTCGCAGAGGAGGAAACTGCCCTTCTAAATGAATGTTTTCCCAGTCTCTTGAAATACGTGCGTTGTGAATATCCCAAGAGGCCCCGTTTGAATGAGTGTAACAACACTCCTTAGAAAAATGCTTATTCGTTGTTAATGTAGATTGTTTGAATGGAAGCTCTTGCTCTTCTGTAGAGCTGCAGAGATAGGGAAATGGGTCAAAGGGGAGGAAAAGAAGTTTGGCGGAGAGATTGTGTAAGCCTGGGTGGGGTCTTTAGCTCTGTTCTCCTGTTAAAATACCTCCTGAGGTGGGGGCTGTTGCTATACTTCATTCAAGAGGCAACCCAATTGGAAAAGTAGCAGTACTCTGGAATTGTGTGATACAATGCATCGTGTTATTCAGAAGACCAAATCCTGGGTTACTGATAAGGCCATGTGCTATTTCCAAAGGCTGAAATGTGTTTGGTATGCTGTTGTGAAGCAATTTACAGGCAGGAATTTTAGAGTGCATCCCAAAAGTATCAGGAAGTTGGGAAGGCCTTACTGAGCTTGTTCCCACTTTGTGGGCTCCAGGATATGGCTGCTAACGAGTGGCGATGGAATTACTGTTTTTGATTTGAGCTTTGACCTGTCAGAAATATTGGGAATATTCCGCACTGTTGTCTGTGGGATGAATGGCACACAGGGTGCACAACAGTGGTTGTGTATTCTCCCTTGAACTGTTGGTGGCACTCTTTATCATGGGCTTTTTTTTTTTTTATACTGGATATGAAAATTTGTATCTGGCTAGATGCAAATAATCCTTGCAGCAGAAAGGGTTATTGTTAAGGTCAGATGGAGCATATCCCCAAACATTAATTCCTGCATCTGCTTGTGTTTTCTTTCTGCCACATCATTGCTCCTCAAAGTTTTACAGTGTAGGACTGATACTGTAGCTTTCAATTTTCTACAAAATCTTCTCTGGGTGCAGAATATTTTTTTTCAGAGTATTTGGGTAAGCTGCTGTGTCTTGGCTATGTGAGTGTGTGTGAATCTCCTGACTTACTGAAGCCAAGAACGGTAACAAATCCGCCTTGTGGGGAGGTGTGATTATTGGCCTGAGGAACGATTCTTTTATCCTAATATCCTAACTTTCTCAAAAGGGAAAGGGAAGGTGATGGAAGTCTCTGGTCTCCAGAAACTGTAGAGAAGGTCCCATGGAGTTTTCACTCATAAAGCTGCTGTATAAAAAAATCTGTTTGTGTTTAGTCACCTCTTGTGCTTTTTGCTTTAAAACAAAAGAAATGGTGTTTGAAATCAGCTTTTCCCTGTTTAACTTCTTGTGGGTACTCATGCCCTTGGTGCCATTGACCAAATAAGTGGGGGGAGAGGAGTGTCAGAGTGGTGGACTTGAACAAAGAGATGCTTCTGAAAGAGCTCAGCCTCCTTACGTGGGCTGTATTCCAAATGCAACGTTTCATTGCTGGCTACGCAAGTAGAAAGAGTGACCGTTAAAAAAGCCAAAGTATTCTTTTTTTTTTTTCTTTTTCCTGGTGTTTTAGCTGAACAGAGTTAGGATTTACATATGCTGTGTGTTCTCACTTCTTTGAAGAAAACAGATCGCTCTAGCTGTACGCTTGTAACTGCAGCTGTCCGGACACACCCTTCCCCCTGTTTTGGTAAGGCTTTTAAGAACCTTCCCGTTGAAAAGCCCTTAGCATCTGCCTGCAAAGGGCGTTCTGTGATTTTGCAGCCTCTTAAAGTAAGAAAAAACATTAACGTGAATGAAGGAGACCGCAAAACCTCATTTTTTGGGGGGTGCTGTGAGCTTTAATGCGGTGGAACTCAACTGAAGCCTGGTGGGACAGGGACTCTGTCAGGTGATGGGGTTGGAATTAGATGATCTTAAAGCTCCCTTCCAGTCTGAAACATTCTGGGGTTCCGTGATTTGGAGAGGAGGTTCAAAGCGTGTACAATCCAAAGGGAGAGGGATTGTAGACATGTATATGTGCTTTTGTAGTCGAGCATGGGTCTTGAGGGGGAGAGAGGGTGGAGACTTTGCAGCTAGCTGGAGAGCAGCTCAGGGGAGGGGAGCGTCAGGAAAACTTCAAACTGCTGTGAGTGCGAGAGGCACGGGCTGTTTCTACACCATATCTGTGTGTGTGTGAGTGTGTATGCGAGGAAGCATTCTGTGTTTTATTTTCAGATTTGTTTTTAGAGGTGCTGCATCGTGTGGCAGCCACTCTCCTTCCCTGTGTGCTAATCCTAGAGGGAGGTTACTGGGTAGCTGGCGAGATGCTTGACCGGTGGGTGGATGCTCCTGGTGCGTTCTGGAGTCTTTTGCCTCGTTCTCCCTTCCCTGCCCCTAACTCACGGTGAGTGTAAGGATCCAGCAACAGTTCTGTCCGGTGGTCAAACTTCTGGAAAAGGTCTTTGTGTACGTGCAGGAATCACAGCTCTTTCTACAAGCGTGACTGCTCCGTACCACCTCTCTTTGCTTGTAGAGGTACTGGACCAAATCCCCATGCTGAATCTGAAATTAGCACCCCTCCTTTTGTGTGCTCATTTTTTTTTTTTTTGTACTTTAATACCTTCTTTCTGGGTGGTTTATTTTAACCCCAGATTGTCTAGAGGAAAAAACAAAACTAGGAACTGTGTAGTTACTTAAGAGATGACAATAAAACGACTTAATTCAGAGTAAATGAATGAAGTTCTTGCACCTTTGTAAATGTTGAAGAATTCCATTGCTGTGTAATGGCTGAACCTGTTAACTTATTAAAACCCATGGAAATAAAAACCTGAGCACGCGTCCTGACTGCACCCCTGCTCTCCTACCCTGCTCCCCAGCCCTGCTTCCTTACACCAGCTCCACGGAGCCCCCGACCCCTACTCCCAACAGCGAGGTCAAACCGTGAGTAATGACCCCAAACCCCAATTCTGGACCAGCACCAAAAGGGCCCCGACCCTGAACCCTTGACCCCAGAACCTTGACACCAAACCCTCGACCCCGCAGCCGAGCTGAGTCACTGACACAACCCAAATCCCAGAGCCCCATCCCCAGACCTGACCCCGGAGCCTCTGACCCCCAAAAAAGGGTTAGGGTAGGGTTTTAGGGTTAGTGTTGGGGCCATGGGCTGTTCAAAAGTAGGTCCTACCCAGCGGGGCGTTTGGTGTCACCTGGGTGGAAGCCCCAAAACTCGAGGGACGAAGCCCCAAATTAGGGGAAGGAACCCCAAAAGTGTGGTTAAACCCCAACATTGGGGGAAAGAACCTTAAAATTAGGTTTTTCTATAAACTGGGGGGAACCTCAAAACAGGGGTAGCAAAGCCCTGAGTTTTAGGGGAAGGAGCCCCAAAATTTTGGGGGGAGGACCCTGCCGTGGAGAGGTGAAACCCCAAAATTGAGGGGAAAGCCCCAAAAACAAGCCAGAAGGGGGGGGTGCAAACAATGGCGGCCTCCGGACAGGCGACATTTTCAGGGGGATGCTGGGAAATGTAGTCCGAGGGCACAGCGCTTCCGGGCGGCCATGTTGGCTTCGCAGAGCATTGTGGGAGCTGTAGTTCTCCAAGCGCTGCTGGCAGGCGGCCATGTTGGGAGCACAAGGAATGCTGGGAAATGTAGTTCTCGCACACCCGGCCTGCCGGCGGCCATGTTGGGTGTCCGGGGGATGCTGGGATGTGTAGTTCGAGGCCATGTTGTGTGCCCAGAGTGCAGGGGTTGGGGTTAGGGGTTAGGGTTTGTGTTAGGGTTTAGGGTTAGGGTTGTAAGCGCTGTGTGTCCATGGGTGCAGGTTCAATAGGTCACAGACAGGGAAGGGGCTGTCTGTGGGGGGTTGTCCACATGTCTGTCAGTCTCACGCACCCTAAATTAACCCCAGAACTGTAGGGTTGGAAGGGACCTCAAAAAATCACTGGGTCCAACCCTTCTACCAAAGCAGCTCCTCAGAGCAGGCTGCCCAGGGAGGCACTGCCCAGGGAGACCTTGAATAGCAAGCTGCAGATGTCCCCTAGGAGAAGGGATGCTCTTGGAAATGTCATAGCCAAACAAGAATTAAGGCAATAACCATTCTGAAGATAAATCTGTTCAGAGCTGGCATTTAAATGATTTTTTTTTCCCCCTGAAATAGGGATGGGGAAAGAAGAACAATTAAAACAATCTTCATAGCAAATGCTGTGTGAGTGATGTTGTGGCTTTCTAAAGGAAAACTGACCATCCAAAAATCTAAACGATGCTTTTTGGAGTTCTGACACTCATTTTTCAAATGTGAATAGAATGTGTCATAACACAGGGAAAACAAGGATTTGGGCTTTGTAGTTTGTTTGTTTGTTTGTTTTTGTTTTGATTTTTTTTTTTTTTTTCTACTGGGTATTTTTGACCCAGTGAAATTCAGTAATCCCTTTCCTCCTTCAGTTTCCAGTAAGAGAATCTAGCAGATGATTGTGCTCTTGGAAATTGGTCGTACAGGCTTTCTAGGTAAGCTGGTGATTTAGAACAAGTCCAGCTGTGAGCGATGGGTATGTCCCCAGCTCAGACAATCTTGGATTTTTCCAATTGTGCCAGCATAATAGAAAAACGAAAACAAGCTGCTTTGGCTCTTGTTCCAGCTCCTTTCAGCCACTCTCTTTTCTATGAGGAAAGCAGTGAGACAGGAAAGGTAATGCTGTAACAGGAGGAGGCCAGTGCAAGATGAATGGGAAGGAGCTGAAAGGAGAGAAGCTGGCTAATTAAAACGTGACAGCAATAACCAGGCAACTGAACTTATGGAAACAAATGGAAAAAAAAATGGAAAAAAAAATGAAAGATGGATACCTCAAAGTGCGGCTGCGCATCTGCTCCACAGATGATGTTTTGGGGGGTGAGGTGAAGATCAGTGGGACAGTTGCCAACTGATCATAGTTTTATAAAGTACTTAGCTTCCTGCAATAATTGCCTGGGTAAATACACAGCTTAAGCCATGGGGAGGGAGGGATAATTGTATTAAGAGCAAATGGGAGGACACATTAGCACCTTGCAGGTTTAGGATGCAACACAAAAGGTCCAAGTGTACACCCAAATATTTAAAATCAGTTTATCTACAAATGAGTTTATCTGCTAGTCTCTGAAGGGCTGTGCAGAGCATTTTAGCCTGTGACAGATTTTTCTATACAATAAGCTCTATTAGCTAGAGGACTACACAGATGGAAGAAACTTTGAAATGTATCACTTCTGTGGAGCAAAAGCTCACAGATAATAGCCCCCTACTCCTAGTACCTGGAGAGCAGAGCAGTACTCTCCAGGTACTGGCTTTACAGCTGGACTGATCTAACACTGGGGGGCTTTTGCTGTTAAGCGCTATCTCATGTTTGAAGGAGTTCTCTCACTTTTTAGCACCACTAATGCTAGAGGGGAGTTTACACAGGATTAGCTCTTTGGCCACCCTTTCTTTCTGCTGCTTGGTGTTCGTTTCACTTCAGGCTGTACTGGCAAGTAATGACGTGGGAGGGATTTTGTTACATTGGGCTTCAGCAAAGGCGACACCAGATGTTCAAGAAATGTTTTCAAGAGAGCCTCTGAACATTTTCTTAAGAGCTGTTTACTGGCCCCCATGGCTAATGCTTTGAGTTGGTTGATTTTATTCTGTAGCTTCAGGATCTTGCTGACAGGTGAGTGGATAACTTTCTTATCCAGGCAAACTTCTCATTGCTGCTGTTGTATTGGTGCTGACACTGTTACCTTCTGAGAGCCGTAAGGAATTACACCTGACAGTTGTTCAGCTCATTCTGGTTATAAACTGATAAGTCTGGCTGCAGTTCATTCAAAAGCTTTTTTTTTTTTTTTTTTTTTTTTTTTTTCCCCCCTGGTGTCACATGGTGGGGGGAAAGGGATTCTTTCACCCCTGCAGCAGGTCAAATAGTAGGATTGCAGCGGTGACAGTGCACAGAAAGCTAGTAAGCAGTTAACCTCATTTCCTTGCTGTTCTTCCTGCCACCTACCGGTGAGATGTGGAGGTTGCTGTGACTCTGAGGTTGGAGAGGGTTTCAGAAGCTTTCTGAATCAGATGCTCTTGGGAGAATGTACATATTTGAAGACCAGTCATTCCAGGAGGGCTTGCAGAATAACTTTATTTCATCTGCTGCTACTCTAAGTGCACAACTAGACAGGGAAAAAGTTGTGCACATGGTATTTTCTTCCAGTTCATCACATATTTCCTTTCACTTTTATAAATTTCCTTCATAGGTCAAGAGAAATGCTTTCCTTGCCCTGCTGGGTTTCACTGTCCAAAAGGACTAAGACACCGCTGTCCTCCTGGCTTCTATTGCCCTCAGAAAACTGGAACCCATTTGCATCCTTGTCCCCCTGGGACTTACAATCCCTCTTACGGACTCAGCCAGGCTGAGAGGTGTCAGCAGTGCCCTGCAGGTGAGGAAATACCAGTACTCTGATCGTCCATGTGGAGCAGTGTCTGAGAGAGTGATCTCCCTGCATATTTCTTCTCCCAATCTACTGATGCATTCCACCTCTAGGAAATGCAAGCATAATAACACACAACCAAAGGAGATCCCTTGTCCCACTGATAGTATCCCCCAGTGAGCCATACTCGTTGGTGTTTTCTTTTTTGTTATCTGTAGGTAGGATAAAAGTTTGGTTTTAAACTCGGGGTTTCCCAGAGGAGCACAAGTTGAATTGGAATGCTGATGTTGAGGAATCAGCTCACCCAGAGTCTGCCTCTTTGCCTTCCAATCAGTGCATGCAGCACAGCAGCTCTACTGTTTTTACTGACACTCTTTTCCCTCTGTGATCTTCCAGGAATGTTCTGTGGAGACTGGGGATTATCCTCTCCAAGTGGTCCCTGCTGGCCAGGATTCTTCTGCACAGCAGGTATTGAATGGAGCATTAACAAAGACAGAAGAGAAGTGGAAAAGTAGAAAGCTGTGGTCTTGAGGATTTTCTTATACATTCTCTGTGCAGTCTTTCCCTGGATTTTACTGGAGGGTGTGCCAGGACAACCCCAAGGAATGAAGCTCTGTAATAAGGTTATACTTGGTCACAACAGATTTTTTTCTAGTCAAAACATGCTTTCTGAGGCCAGTAGAAGGACTTAAGAAAATACACAAAAAGTGGACTCGAGGAGTCCTGTTGTTTTCTTCCAATATCAGCTATCAGCAATTCAAGAATATTTTGAGCTAGAGTTTGGATCTGGGACCACCGTGTATAATAGTTGAGTTTTCTTTCAGGTCTTTACCAGTTCCTGTGCTCTTTGCATGGCAGTTGTCCTGAATGCTGTAATGAGAACAAGTCCAAATTTAAGATACCATTGGATGCAGTCCAATTTAAAGGAAATGCTTCCAGACAACTTTGTGTTGTTTGCCACACCAGTGCAGGGAGAACTTGCATTAAAAAGAGGCCTTTTTGTTTCTAACTTTCTGTTTGCCAACTAACGCATAAGCCTGGAGACTGCTCTGAAACAGACCTATGAAGTGTGCCGTGATCTGCAGTGAGATCCATGCTTGGCAGTGTGGACAACAGCTCTTTGAAATAACTTCATGCTTGCTCTCCATATTCTCACATAAAAAAAGCTTCCTGCTATAGAAATTACTCTTTAGGCATGGGAGGGTGACAGACTGCCCTGTATCATTAAGGAAACCTTTGGTCTATCTCCCTGGTGTAGGAGCAAGTGTCCCAAACCCTAATGGAGCCACCAACACGAGCACTGGTGGCCCATGCCCACCTGGCCACTTCTGCCCAGCTGGCACAGCTATCCCTCAGCAGTGCCCTGTGGGCACTTACTCAGACAGGTGAGCTTCTTGGTTCTGATGGTGCTAATCTGTATTTTCCTTCCCTTTTTATCTTTCTCTTCTACTGCTATCTACTACCTCCTTTGCTTCCCTACAGTGTCCTTAAGCTGCAGCCCAATAAGGCTCATTAGACACATCTCTGGATTTATTATAAAAGCCTCAGGGTTGTTTTCCCTTGGCCAGGGGTGTAGGCATCAGGGACCTCCTGCTGAACTTGCACGCTTGCCAACAGAAAGCTTGCTTCTGTCTCTCTACAGGCTGTCCATCGGGCAGGAGTCCAGCTGCACAGCGTGCCCATCTGGCTATTACTGCCGCTCTGCTGGCCTCACGGCACCCTCAGGACCCTGCTCAGCTGGGTACTACTGCCTCTCTGGAGCTTCCTCACCATCACCACCTGGTGAGTTGCCCTGGGTGAATGTCAGTGTCTCCACTTAGTTGTGTCCGATAATTAAGGGTCTTGACAACAGAGAGCTTTGAAAAATTGCAGTTCTTCCCCCAGTTCTCCTGCCCCTGCCTCTTCTCAGTCGTTTAAATTTTAATATTAATTTTGTTTGGGGTATTCGTACGTCTGCGTACCTATCAAGGATGAAAAAGCAGGCAGTCCCCCATCTGTGTTACTGAATGAGACGCTTGCACTGAACGCTGGAAAGTTGTGAGTACCAGCCTGTAATGGAAGTAGCCTGATTCCCCCTTATCATTTTATTGTGTACCAGAAAGAATAACTTCCAGGGGAGAATTCCAGGTCAATTCCTGTGGACAATTAAATATTCTCCAAAATTCTTGTTACATATGAAGCAGAGTATTTAGAAAGCTGATAGGAGAAAAACACGTTCAGTGTGGCTTTGCCTGTGAAGCAAGGAGGAAAAAGACACGGTGACACGGTGTTGAATAACTCCAAAGCTGAGACAATAGTCATTTTAGATACTGTGTTGTGCCTCCTCATCACCTGTCTTCTGGGATCCCAGAAAACATAATTAAGAAGAGATCCTCATCAGTTCACTCCCTTTGTTGGCACTGACCCTCCCTCATAAGCTGCCTTTGTTGGCTTTGTCTTCTGCTTTTTGTGTCCTAGGTGTGTGGGAGAAAGGAGGCCCTTGTCCTGTGAGCCACTTCTGTCCCGAAGGAAGCAGCTTTCCCTTAGCGTGCCTTGCAGGGACTTACAACAACCTCACCAGACAAGCTGCGTGCTTTCCTTGTGCAGCAGGCTACTACTGCCCAGAAAATACTACCAGCTACAGTGAGAATCCGTGCCCAGCTGGCTTCTACTGCCCCAGAGGTGAGATGAGCCCAGGGGACAAGGTCAGCTATCAGCCAGGGTGAAATAATTTTTTTTTTTTTAAGGCAGGGAGTGATCCCTGTGAAATAAACCTTCAGCCATCAGTCTGGTTCTTCACAGAAAAATAACCCAATCATTTAAACCACAGACAAGGCTGTCATTTAACCCCCCCACCAGTAAGCTGATCAGCACCTGGAGGTTGTCGTGGCCCTGAAAGCCAGGCTGTGCACTGGGGAGGTCAACACGGAGATAAACTGGCAAAAATCATAGAATCACAGTCATAAACTGGCAAAGATGAAGGAGGTGATGCTGAGGGATTAATAGCCAAGATCCTATGTATAGTCCGTGAAACATTCTGCCTTTATTTCAAAGGAACCAGGTTTGCTACTGAGTTTCCCTGTCCTCGGGGCTACTTTAACCCAGACCCCATGGCACAGAGCTTGGATAGCTGCTTGCCCTGTCCTCCTGGGCATTACTGTGGGAAGGAGAACTTGACAGCTGCATCAGGCAAGTGTGATGCAGGTGAGTTCTGGATCTGTTTGGCTGCTGCCCTTGGAGGCAGTGTCTTAAGGAGGCTGTTGCATACATCCTGCAAATTTATTGGGATTACTGTATGTATTATTTCATGGAAGATGATGCCATAGTGCTGTTAAACTCTGGTGATATTAGCCTGTCCCATATTCCCTGTGCTTATGGCTGTGCTGTGAAGGCACTACATGCAAGGCCATTCCCCTGACTTGTCGATGATAACTTCTGGGGCTCTGTCATTGCTTGAGCTTCTCAGCCGTGTTTTGTCTTCTCAGGATGGTTTTGCATCTCAGCTGCTTGGACGCCACGGCCTTTTGATCTGGATAATTACACCAATGCCAACTGCCTCTGTCCCGCCACTGCCACTGGAGGGAAGTGCATGGCTGGTTTCTATTGTCCCACAGGAAGCCCAGAGCCTCTTCCCTGCCCTCCAGGGTTTTACTGCAATGCCCCAGGTTAGCAGCTGCTTTTGGAGAACAGGAGGGGTGTGTTTTGGGTGTGTGGAAATAAAGGTAAATAAAAGTATTTGTTATTTAGGAACTTGACAGAAGATTTTAAAGCTAAGTTCTTGTTCTGGGTGATAAAGCTGACTTAGTACAGATTTTTTTGTGTGTCCTTAAGTGAATCACTTAGCATTTGTGACCATGTTCTCATTTTCAGAGGACCAGAGGGCTCAGGTGTTATCTTGTGATGTTTGCCCAGAGGGAAGCTGCAAGCCTCCTGCTTTTCTTCCTCTGTCTTGGTGCTTGGAGTGCTATTATCCTTCTGTCTTCCAGGTCTGTCCATCCCCAGTGGGGAATGTGCTGCTGGCTTTTACTGTAAAGGTGGAGCAACCCTGCCTAATCCAAGAGATGATGTGACTGGGAATATCTGCCCTGCGGGGACTTACTGCAGTAAGTGTCCAGCACTGATCAGGAACAAAAATTTCATATCCTGTAATACTGTGAAATACTGGCGTGTTATTCTGAGTGTGGTGGACAACTTGTTGGGTGTGACCAGAGTGCCCTGAGTCCCAGATTCTTCTTTAGTTCTTCTTTTGACCTGTTCTCTGAAAGTGGTAATGTATTTGTCTCAGTGCCTTGTCTGTCTTTAGAATATGAGTAATTACATCTACGTTTCCTTCTGTAAAATGGAGCTAATAATATCTATCCTTTTCCGTGGAGCACTGTTTGACCTGTGAGTGAAAATAAGACTCCAGGGATTCCGTTTCCATTTGCACTCATCTAGGCCCCGAAAGGAGCAATGTTTTCATTCTCTCATGTTCATTTCTCTCTGCCTTGTTTCTGTTCTCCCAGCTGCAGCATCGGCAGTCCCCACGCTCTGCCCAGCAGGCACTTTCTCTAGCCTGCCAGGGAGGAGAACACTTTCTGAGTGCCAGCCTTGCCCCTCTGGCTTCTATTGTGAGTTACCTGGTCTCAGTGCCCCCACTGGAGAGTGCTGGGAAGGTAAGCCTTGAATAAATGACCATACTGCATCCCTGCAAGAGATGCCTGCATAGATATCACTGGCTCTGGAGTCTTGCTGTGAGTGAAAGTTTTGAGACTTACTGCCTACCTTGGTTTTCTTCTCTTGACCAGAGAAGAGTTTCTGTATCTCTGTGAAAAGGCTGTAAGAGGCAAAAGCAATTCTGAGGTGAAAGCACAAGTGGCAGCTTCCGGGTAATTCTTCTGAACAATTAAAATATCATTAAGGGAAGACTGGTGTTCAGTGAGGAAATTTTCTTTGAAGGGTTTCAGTAACTGAAAGGAAGAGATCAGTGCTGTGTCCCTAAGTGTTTTCCTACGCTACCTGCAAGTTTTGTCCTGAGTTTTGGGGTCCATTGGGTGGTAAATTTCCTTCTTAGGAGTTCAGTATCTGGTAGGCTTTGATGTGGAGTTGTCCCAGCAGAGGTGTGATTCAGATCAATAGTAATTTAAGGTCAGCAATACATTTATTTCTTGAGTAGCCAGTGAGGTGCTTGGTATGCCTGGGCGAACCTGTTAGGAGCCTTCTCTTCTAATGAGCACAGCTCAGTAGCTCGTACATCTCAATGACTAATTTACCTTTCTTCCCTCTGTCTTCGCTGCAGGTTATTACTGTGACAACCAGCAAGGGCCAGTTATAGATTTCACCCTTTACCCGTGCCCACAAGGTTTTTACTGCCCACCAGGGACAAACAGGAGCACTCAGTACAGCTGTCCTGAAGGAACCTTTGGACCAAGGCAAAGGCTAAGAACTATCAAGGAATGTCAGAGATGCCCACCGGGAAAATACTGTGAATCCTCTGGACTTGCTGCCCCAACAGGTCCATAAAACATTTAAGTGACTTCAGGCTCCACGTAAGGATGGTTTGAATATGTGCCTAAGGAGAAATGTGTGTTTAAGGACCTGCCCAGTCATGGAGGCACTGCTTGCAAGGTCTGAGCTAAGTAGAGTGCTTCCCTATTTAGGAGCTGTCAGCTTGTCATCTGCTACCAGTTCTCCACTCCCCTATGGTTACAAGCAACTTCTCCACTTGATGGCCATTATTTATCTCTAGACCAGTGGTGACTGTGCACCACACAATAGCAAGGGATCATAGTTCAGTATGTATGCTGAAACCTCTATCTTTCTGCCTATTTTTTTAATACAGTTGTGTGCATTTTTCTAGGAGACTGTGCTGAGGGATTCTGGTGCAAAAGTGGTGCCCGAGTAAGAAATCCTCAAGATGGAGAATCAGGACTTCCTTGTCCACCTGGTCATTATTGTCCAGAAGGTAGGATGCTTTGCTAAAGCACATTTTTTCTTATTTCATGTAAAGCACGAGGTGGCATTCCCTCCCTCTGGTGCCATTCATTTTGCCAGGTGCACCACTTCCACTAGAGTGCCCTCCTGGCACTTGGTGTGGCAGTGAAGGCAGCAGCAGTTTGCAGCAATGCCTGCCTTGCCCTGGGGGATACTACTGCAATAGCTCTGGACAGAGGGCTCCCACAGGACCCTGCAGCCCAGGGTAAGAGAAGATTGAACACATTTATGTACTCTTTATAAGGAAAGGTGTTCTCCAAGTGGTCTTCTTCACCATTTTGATATAATGACAGTATGCTCCTGTACTCACTGCTGCAGGTATTACTGTGTCACCAGAGCCCAGACCCCAGCACCCACAGACGGCCTCTCAGGAGCTCCATGTCCAGTCAATCACTTTTGTCCTCTTGGATCCAGGAGTCCAGCACCATGTCCTGCTGGCTCCTACATGCCACAGACCCATGGAGAGAAGTGCCATGCTTGCCCAGAGGGTGAATACTGTGCCCCTGGGGAGAAGCCAGAGCCATGTCCCCAGGGTGAGTTAGGATTCCCCTTACACGCCTGGTTTGCTGTAGATTTTCTGAAGACTGCTAATGCTGACCTGCTCTTTCTTTTCCAGGGCACTTCTGTCCCAAGGGCACAGCTCTTCCAGTGGCTTGTCCAGCAGGGTCATATAACCCCTCACAAAGGCAATCCAGCTGCCTCCCCTGTCCTGAAGGGTAAGAGTGAGACCGTGACCTGAGTGTTGCATGTATGAATAAAGGACTGTGGTAAATAATGGTTTATCACACCACCTTGGAGCGCTGTGCAGTGGAAAAATGACTGACCTTACCACTGGAAAGCACTTAGATCTGACAGGAAGCAGGACAACTATTGAATGCTGTTAACAACACTAGAAAATTGATTGTGGCACCAGGCAAAGTCCTAAACCCAGGTACAACTACTGTGGAAGAGGATTTAGATCAGAAGTCTATTTAAAGCAAGGGAACTATTGGCACCATAAACCTCTTTCATGTCTGAAGTAATAAATGGTTCCCCTGGCAACAGGCTGGCATAGCTGTGATACAGGGGAAGAAGGTTTTGTGTATCACCTGATGCTGGCGTTCCCTTAGGGGATTCGTCTCCAATTACTAACTGGATTTGACCTTGATTAACTTTTACAAGTTGATGATTCGCAGCCTAGATGTGTTATGACTCAAGTTAAGAAAATTACGTCTCTGTGGCTTTTGCAATTATGCCATCAATTTGGCATACGAGGAAACAACTAAGAAAGTGGCAATATACCTAAGTAGGATTCTTTTGCGGTCAGTACAGCGCAGTGCAGCAGCCATATTAGGCTAGCTTCTGCTGCCATTAACTCATTATTCAGGTGTTTGTGGATAGAATAGTGTTAGAAATTCCTCCTCCTCCCTGCTTTTTTTAATTGGACCTTCCTTTTTATTTTTTTTTGCCTTTTTGGACTAGGTTCTTCTGCCCCAAAAATTCCTCTTCATTTTTGGAGAATGAGTGTTCAGCTGGCCACTACTGCCCTACCGGTACTGCTGCTGCCACTCAGTTTCCATGTCCCCAGGGAACTTACAACCCACAAAATGGAAGCAGCCTCCTGTCTCACTGTACCCCCTGTGACCCAGGTAAACGGCGTGTAAACATATCTCAGGGTAGGACAACTTATGAAAATTTATTTTGTATGTTCTTGGGCTTCACTGGTAGCATTTTCATGGTTCAGTGGATGAATGACAGGCTACAGTGTCTCACACACAGTGTGTTATGTGGAAATGAAGACAGAGAAATATTCAGCTGCCTGTTGATCCTTAGGGGTTCTAAAGGCATATATTGAACTGGAGTTGGAAACACTCCGCAATTGTCTTGCTCCTTTCCTTGGTATGACTGGAGTCAAGCACTTCAAAGAACAAGCGGAAAATGAGTTACTCCTTGAATCTAAAATGTACCTTAAAGAGATGTTATATGGAAAAATGTGGGAGAAAAGTACTTGTCCAGGAGATTGTCATCTCCATGTTCCCACAGGTACCTTATGTAATGCTTTCTAAACTTAAATAAGGTTTGTCTGTGGAAAAGAAATTTCGAAGACAACATTTCACACTGTGCAGATGTACTCAAGTGAGATAAAAACCAGAAGCAATATGGCCACAACATCATGCCCTGTTAAGAATTAGCTTAAATTACCTTGGGCAAAAGATCTTACAAATTGATTATACTGTCTGCAGCCTTTGAGACAATATTTGTATGCAGCACTGCATTGTTCAATGCAAATATGATTTTAGCATGAGATTTTTGCCACTTTTAAGTTGGGAATCTAGGTGAATCCCATCAGATAGGCCATCTGGTCAGGTGAAAAGAGAGAGGTCGGATTATTCTTCTAGTATAGGCATCTGATTGACAAGGAGGTGATTAATTTAGGCTGCATGCCAAACCTAGAGGTACAAAAAAAAGGAAGAAATACCCTAGTTTTCATTAAGCCTGCTGTCGCTAGACATCACCTGCTGGTTGGTTTGTTTTCCTGAAGCATGGAAATGAATACCCTTTTGCACTTCACTGTACATGTTTTCGTGTTTGTGTAGGCATGTAGCTTGTTCTCTGCAGCAGCTTTCTGATATTTTCTGCCAGTACTGATGCCAGTGCGTTGCTTTCTCAGGGCACTACTGTGCACTGCTGGGGCAGTCACACGTTACAGGAGCCTGCTGGGCTGGGTTCTACTGCAGTGGAGGTGCTTCTAGTCCAACACCTGTGGATGGTCTCCTGGGGAACACATGCCCCAAGGGAGCTTACTGCCCTGCGGGCACTGCCTTTCCACAGCCATGTCCTCCTGGTTACTACAGCAACTCAACTGGGAATACTGGGATCGAGGACTGTCTCCTGTGCGATGCAGGTACAATACTGAAAGCACTAACGAGGTTCCAGCATTTCTAGGGCTCCTGAGAAGCTTTGTGATTGTAGAGCAGGTAATCATGAACAACAGTTGTCTCAGTGAGAGATGTTAAGTAGAGTATAGAAAGGCTGAATCTGCCACTTTACTATGTAAGAGGATACTCGCAGTGAGGTGCAAAATTCTCCTATGATCTTCATTTTCCACTCTTTCTCTACGTGCTGTCATCTCTGAGACGATGCAGAGTGCAGTTTGTTCAGGCATGTAAGCTCTGAACTGCAGCTGTTCTCAGTGAAAGCATCTTCAGAATAGAAGTGGGTGACATCAAACATGATGGCTGAGTGATTGTTTCCTAGTTACATACTTGCTGTTGTCTCTCTTGCCTGGCCAATGTCATTATGGTGCTTTTGGGTCCCTTTTTCAGGGTATTTCTGCAATGGGACTGGACTTTTATCTCCAACTGGATTATGTGAAGCTGGATTCTACTGTAGTGGAGGATCCATTTCTCCTAAACCTCCCAGGGTAATCTGTGCTCGTGAAAGGAAAAAGTGGTGCCAGTTTCCAAATGGGCAGCCCAACAAGATTTGTTGTGTGCAAAATTCTGATCCCTTGACTTGGAAAAGGATAAGTGTGCAGCCATAAAGACTAAGCGATGAATGCAGACCTTCACACTATTTGAATCTGACATAGTTATTTTGCAAAGCTGTCCTCTGCGTTTGTAAATGGTATGGAAAGATTTTTTGTAACAATGGCATTTTTTCTTCAAAGATAACAATCAGTGGAGGACCGTGTCCACCTGGACATTACTGCATGGTGGGGAGCAGCAGAGCCCAGCCTTGCCCTGCAGGGAGTTATAACCCATCCTGGAGTATGGCACAATGTTTGGAGTGCCCGGAAGGTTTTTACTGTAAGACTGCTTCCACAAACTACACAGATTGCCCTGCAGGTGAGAGAGTTTTGGCAGTAGACATTTATAACATACTTGGAGATGTTATTAAAAAACTGGTTGCTGTTAAAACTATTGCTAATCCTCAGCACCGATCAGCTTCATTTTATGGTGCTGATGTGATGAAGGAGTCACCCACTTGTGATAAAGTGCAAGATGGGCCCACCATCATAGCTTGGTTTCAGTCCTTCTCAGAAAGAGATGGAGAAAGCTGCGTGTACAAGCTGGGGGACCTTTCCAGGCTATTAACAGCATCTGTCAAACTTTATGAAATCCTTCTTTTCTTTCCTAGGTCACTACTGCCCCAGGAATACAGAATTTGCCTCGCAGTACCCTTGTCCTCCTGGAACCTACAGCGAAGCTTTAAATATCTGGGATGCTTCCAAGTGCCAGCTGTGTCCTCCTGGAAGGGTCTGTTCCAAACCAGGCCTACAGAGACCAGATGGACTGTGCGCACCTGGATGGTTTTGTCCACCTGGATCCATGTCAAGCAAACCGGTGTTTCCTGGAAATCACTCTGGTACGAAGGGGATTGATCAAGTGTGATGATGATTATTGAGGTGGTGTTACTACAGAGTCACTTAAAGAATCCGCCCATCTGAGGATGTCTTGCTTTCTCTTGTTAGTTTCCTTAATTCTGTGCTCTAGTTCTGTTCTTCCTGGTCTCTTTAAATGAGATAGAACACTTGCAATTTTTGTTTCAGCTCAATCTGTTCTTTCTATTAGCAGGCATGGCAGCTCCAGCTTCTAGATCTTTTGGGCAGTGCCAAGCAGGAACCTTTTGTCCTACTGGTTCATACCTTCCTATTCCCTGCCCACCAGGTAGGAGAAGCACCCTTGTCCCCCCCTGCACAGGTTTTGTATATTTATTTATTTATTGTACATACTCGCTCCCCTTTTGCCAAAACCACTAGGCAATCCTGGTCTTGTGATACTAGTATTTCATTTCTGGTGTCTCTCAAATTGCCTCCTGCTTCAGGTTTGTACTGTGCAACTGCAGAGCTTGCAGCTCCATCAGGTCCCTGTGAGGCTGGCTTCTACTGCACAGGGGGCTCCATGCTCCCAAACCCTATGGGTGGTGCAGTGGGGAACATCTGTCCTCGAGGTCACTTCTGTCCTGCAGGAAGCTCCTCTCCATCTCCGTGTCCCCCAGGTAGGTTTGCCAGCAGCTGCTGCATACCAGCATTTTTCTTCCCGGTGCTTGGTGAGCTGCTGAGCTCATCTGAGGCTTTGCCATTGTTTTGCAGCCCCTTGTTATTTTGCACTGAAGCATGCCTTTATGTTGCCCAAGGGGCAGCTGCTGTCAGCACGAGAGCTTAGCCTCTAATCCGGTGCTGTTGTATTGGAAGCATCAGCCCTAAATGTGCATTCAGACAGTAATTACACAACAGCCTCAGCCTGTGGCCTTATGTGCTGCTGTGCAACGGTGGGGGGGAAGCTCATTCCTGAGCCATCCTGAAGGAAAGGTCACAGCCACGGTGAGCAGAGCACATGTAAGTCTCTGCTGCTCTCCCTGCACGGTGAGAGCTGTCCTCCAACATCACCTTTAATGAGACTGCCAATTAAATTGAATGAGAAAGACTTAGATGCTTGTTTCTTCCTTGGTTAAATCTACAGTTATATTAAGCAAGTGACTGTTCTGCTGTGCCTGGACCAGAAATAAATGGGAGTTGACCTCAGCCAGCACCCATGACCAACCTCTCACAGCCTTTTCTCATAGGAACACTGCCATCTACCTACAGCTGTACACCGTTGCCTTGTCTCTTATGGGAGTGCAGGATGATTAGATTTCCTTCCTAGCCAGCATCTTTTTGGCATCTTACATGAGAGGTGGCTGGGGCTAGTGTAGCTGGAAAGCTGATGCATGAAGAACCTTTACTTCTCTCCATAGCCACTTCCAGCAGGGCTGAGGATGAATGGACAATGTGCTTTTGGTGTCTATTTTCAGGCTCCTTCCTGGCTTATCGCGGTGGTCAGGCAGCACAGGATTGCCAGGCCTGTTTGCCAGGGTGGTTCTGTTCTCAGCGTGGTCAGAGCTCCCCAGAGGGCTTGTGTAAAGAGGGATGGTTTTGCCCAGAGGGCTCTGTATCTGGTCAGCACTCAGGTAGGAATCTTTGGGGGCATTCTTTACCTAAAGGAGTTGTGATGGCAAGATTTTAAAATCTACCTCTGCTTAAATTTTCAAGTTACATTTAAAAATGGTTAGCTAATTAAATAATAATAAAAAAAATGTTTTCCAAAAATTCTACCCAGTAACACCGATTAAGTAGTTGGTAATTGTGCATGGGCCTTGCTGCTCAGATATGTTCAGCACGGCTTTTAACAAACCCAGGGTGGTGTTTTGGGGTAGTTTTTTTTTGGTGTGTGTTTGTTTCTTTGTTTAATCGATCGATTGATTTTTATAAAGCTTTTATCTTAAGCCTTCCAGTTTTAGATTTGTAGTGATGGTTCCTCCTATGACACTATACAGCTCTCCAGGCCATGAACAGAGCAGTTATGTTAGACATATTCCTTCTTTATTTCCTCCTAGACAATCTCTGTCCAGTGGGTCACTATTGCCCTTCTGGCAGCCCTGAGCCCATACCGTGTCCCTCTGGGAAATATCAGGACCAGGCTGGTAAAAGCCAGTGTGAAACATGCCCAGCAGGAATGTAAGTGGAACAGATCTGCTCCTTCATCTCGATGCTTTCCTGGGGAATTAGCAGGTCTATTTCCGTCTGCCTTAGGCTGCTCTGTGTGATGCATCATTTGGTACACGTGGCTGTGCTTTTTGTTCCTGTATTTTTATCACCTTTCCTATTATTATGTCATTTTCTGTACTTGAACCCGTGTAGACAGAAGATCTGTCCTGGTAGGTGTGTCTGCTGTGAAAGAAAAAATGGCCCTGACAGGTTGCATCTCAGCTCTCTGTGTCATTTCAAGTAATTTGGCTTGTCATCTTAGACTCTCACTGTTGTGTAGAAAGGGTTTCTCAGTCCCTTAGAACAGAGGGTAAGCATGGTCTGAGGCATTACTCAGATATTTATTTATTTATTTATTTATTTTGTTAGGTTCTGTGCCCTAAAGGACCACCCAGACGATCTCCAAGAGAACTCCCATGGGATAATCAAACCAACGGACTGTCCAGCAGGGTATTACTGCCTCTCAGGCACAAAAGCCTACAATCAGTACCCGTGCCCAGTGGGGACCTACAGTAACGAAACTGGACTAAGAAATCAGAGAGAATGCAAACCTTGTCCCGGAGGCACCTTTTGTTCCAGTGCAGGTAGGGATCACGTGTGGATTAAATACAGTCCTGGCTGTGTTGTACCTAGGAGAGGTAAAAAGTTCCACTGATGAATGAAGTTTCCTTCTGTCTGCAGTTTGTATGACTTTCAAGTAGTGTTTTCAATCAGTTTTGTTAGAAAATACGGAGACTGTAGATCTAGCTCTTAAATAACAGAGGTGCTCACAGATAGCAGACTCTGAGTGATGAGGCTTGCCTGGTTTCTTTAGTCCAGAAGCTGTGAATTAGGCAATGCACTGACTTATTTGATCTTGTGTTTCTTCTCTTTAGGACTCACATCCCCAAGCGGTACTTGTTTGCCTGGGTATTACTGCACCTCAGAGGCACGTGTACCGAACCCAGTCAGTGATGAGACTGGGGGCCTTTGTCCAGCAGGCCATTACTGCCCACCGGGCAGCAGCAAGCCAGAGCCGTGTCCCACTGGCACGTTTCTGCCTCTGTCTGGTAATGGTTTACCCTAACGCCTGCCTGCCCTGCCCTGGGGGGAAGTTCTGCCGAGGAGAGGGCCTGACCAGTGTTTCTGGTGTGTATCACGTGCATCTAACATCTTTTTGGTTTTAGTATTATGCTTAACCCTAATGCTGAATCTTTGCTTTCTTGCAGGATTGTGTTATGCTGGCTATTTCTGTGATGCCGGGATCTACACAGCCGGATCATAAGCAGTGCCCCCCTGGCTCCTACTGTCCTGAAGGCTCTGAATCCCCAGTCCCTTGCAGCCCCGGGCACTTCAACGCTGACAGTGGAAAACGGCACTCAAGAGACTGCCAGCTCTGCCCTGCTGGGTATTTCTGTAGTGGTGAGTGTCTGCTGGTGTACCTGAGACCTAGGGTTACACAACGTAAAGTGAGATGAGTTAAGTACCCACTACAAGTTTATCGTTTACAATATTTTCTTAGGTTAATGAAGGTTTCTGCAGGACGTGTACCAGGTATAAATGCCCTAAACCATTTCTCTTCCAACGTTTCTGTTGGGTTCTCTGCAGCAGTCTCAGGTTACCCAGACCATCTTTGTGCTATTTTATACCTTCTTTGTTCCTTGGCTCAGACACCATTTCTAGATGTCTTATATATAGTCATCCCCTCAGGGAAAGAAAATAACCAGGCAGGCAGGTCCTTGGTACTGGCTAGCAGCCAGGGGCTCTGCTCTGAGACAGCTGCTCCTTCTCAGAGGTTCTCCCAATCTGTCTGTGCAATATGTTCATTTGAGGTCACTCTGGTAGTTTAAGTTCACCTGCCCCTTCCATGAGGCAAAGAGGCTTTTCCTTTTTAAGGTAGGAAACAGAAGCGATAGAGAGGAAATGGCTCGACCGAGCTTACACAAGTTTATAGCAGAGCTGGAACCACAACTGAGATTTCCAAAATTAAGATTGAGCATTTTAACTGGAAGCCCATGTTTCCTGCAGGCATATAATTTCCTGCAGGCATATAAATCAGAATTGACTTTCCTGTCTGCTAAGATGTTCTTTGTCTGAGGCTGAACTTCAGAGAATTCTTGCTTTCTGATGCCTGTTAAGGGTGTATGCTGAAGGAGCTTGTTCTCTCAAGAGATGAAGGTTTCCTGTTGTCTTCGATCAGTAAAGGATGGTTAAAGACTTTGCTTTTCTGGTTGTAGGACTGGGAAAAATCACTTCCAAACAACCGTGTTCTGTGGGCTGATACTGTCCACCTGGCTATTAATCCCATTCCCTATTGCTGCCTATGTGACTTTTATTGCCCCCCCACATCTGCCTTTCCTGTGCCATGCGGCAACAGGATCTACCAGTTACAGGAGAGAGGAAGGACTTGCACAAACTCTGCCTGTGAACAGCCTAACAAATGCGAGGGAGCTGTGTGTTGTGATAAAAAGGGATCCCATGTCACTAAGGGCCGAGTCTTTCTGTGAGACTTAGTGGGACAAAACGGATTTTGAGTGCTGTAGCTTCCTTACTTCTGTTAAGGTTCTGCTAAGTGTTACGTGGATTGGACTGGGCAGGCAGATGCATCAGATTCTGCCAAGGACGGAAGCCAAAACAGATTTCTAAGACTCTGAGGCTGTCGTTGAAAGAGTAAGCTGAAGCCAAATCCTTCTCTCTGCGGGGAGAGAAACTCAGTGCCCAGGAAAATACAATGAAGCTATTCCTGTCTGGCAGCTCAAGCATGCAACAAGAAACACAAGAAATATAACTGCACGGGCATGGTTCTACTCCCTAGATGGGATTACTCTAATAAAACTTAAGACCGCTCCTTTGTAGACATCTGAATCTGAGCTAGATTTTTGTCCTCCCTCTGTAGTCAGTGGAAAGAAAGAGGCACATCTGGGGTGCAATTCATCCTTCTTATTTTAGATGTCTGCCTTAGGGTGAGATGAATCGCACTTGAAGCGCAGTTCCTCTGTAAGTGCTGTTTCTCTCCAATTACCGCAACAGGAATCTGAACAACTGCATCAGAATACACATGATGAATCCCATGTCCTGTACTAAGATAGGAGGAGGAAGACTGAATATGTTGATAGAGAATGACATTGCCTGTCATGTCTAGTAATATTTCCTGAGCAAGATGCTCTCCTTTGTGTCGTAGGTTCTGGAGCACATACTCCTGAGCTGTGCCCTGCTGGGTACTTCTGTCTGCCAGGTACCAACTTCAGTGCACAGCATCCGTGTCCGAAGGGAACTTTTGGCCCCAGGGCTGGTGCCACTAGCAGCTCTGACTGTGAGCCCTGCCCAGCAGGTAAGCAGGGACGTGGCAAGAGAAACTCAGGGGAATACATGGAATAGTTCAGGAAATTGTGTCTTCTCCCTTCATGTTACTGACTCCTCCACCAGTCTTCTGTGCAGGCCATCTCATGGAGATTGCTTTTCTGTTCATTTTAGGCATGTATTGCTCAGCACCAGGTCTGTCCCAGCCTTCTGGATTTTGCTACTCAGGTTATCACTGTGCCAGCGGAGCCACCAGCCCAGCGCCCTTCAAACACAGGGTGAGTGAGTGCTGGGCAGCAGCACAGTAAGCCTAGCTTCCTGGGGACAAGGACTGGACTGTCACAATCTTATAGCTTCTAGTGTAATGTTTTCCAAGTATTACTGCTCTCTATAGAGTTACTCTTGCCTGCTACTGCTGCCCTTGAGAGCTCCCCAGGTCGCCTAATGTTCTGCTCTTATCATCTGCTGGAACATGGAGCTGCCTGCTAACAACTTCTGGCCAGATCTCCATTTCTGTAGATTGTACTGGCAGTGTGCAAAGGTCTCTTCCAAACGATGGCATCAGTGATCAGATAGCCATGGCTCAGCAGCCAACACTTCCAGTGACCTTTTTATGCCAGCTGTGTCTTCATGAAGTTTCAGTGGCAGAAATCTTGCAAGACTCAGCTCATACATAACCTTTCCAGAACCTATCTCTGTAGTATTTGGTGCCAATTTTAGTTTCAATAATATTTTTCCTTTCTTTCTCTGTTTTCTCTTTTTTTTCTTACACAGGTAGAATCTGCTGGCCTAAGTGTGCCTGGTAATGACATCTGTCCTGTCGGGCATTTCTGCCCCAGTGGTACAGGGTATCCCCTGCCCTGTCCTCCTGGATCCTTCTCTGCTGTCCCAGGCCTGGAGGCAGAAGAGCAGTGCCAGCCCTGCCCAGCAGGACGGTATTGCAGTGGGGCAGGATTGTTTGATCTGGCTCAGACGTCGCTGTGTAATGCAGGGTGCGGTGAGAAAGTCACTTGTTAGTGGGAAAATGCAGCTGATGGCATTACTGTAGGATAAAGCAGTCTCTTGTGTGCAAATATTTATACTCAAGATTAATTAACTGCAAAGACTTTGTTTTTAACCCTCCAGGTTGGCCATACAGCATCTGCTTGTGATCTCACTGAATGGCCTCAAAGCTATTCCTTCTCCCTCTACGTTTGCCTCACATTCTGTCCCAGCCTTATACATGGTCTTTTACTGTTTTTCCCATAGGTTCAGTTTATTACAAACCCATTATTTAGCCTCAAAATTACACTTGGTGAGCATTTGAGCTGGGCATCCTTTTCCCTGTTCTGTGTTTTATCTCCTTTCCCACGAGGTGGTGCAATAACCACTGGCAAGCCAGCAGTCCTGGCCTGCGTAAGGCAAGCAGAAAAGTGCTGTTAGCATTTGTCCATCTCACCAGTACGCCTTGGAGCAGGAGGCTGCAGAAGCTCGGTTCATTTAATCTGCGAAAGAGCAGCTTAGAAGTGATTTCAGCGTGGTGTAACAGGATTTAGTAGGGAAAGATTTGTGATAGCAGACAGCCCTTCAATCTACTAGAGAAAATCATAATGCAGTTTTAATCTGGCTAGAAGCTGAAACTAAACTCAGATTAGAAGTAACTTCCTAAAGTTAAAGGGCTACATTTGGAAGAACTGAAATAATAGTCACAGGACCAAACTTCCTGGGAAAAAGAGGTGTTTACCACATCCTGGTTAAATGTTAAACCTTCATAGGAATTCCTTTAACTTCAGGAAGAAGTGGGTCTTGCTTGTGGGGAAACAAATGACAGGCAGCTCTGCTGTTCTGCTTAACGCTGTTCCTTTTACACTCAGTCATTGTCTTAAGGGCTAGGAATTGTTTCTTCTTTAGAAACTGCATCTGCAGCATACAGTAGGACCATGGCTCTCATTTTCTTGTAGCTTAGCTTCTGGAAGCCATAATATTTTTTAAATATTTCCTCATCTTTACTTATTGTGAGTATGTGGCAGAGGAGTGGTAAAGGGAAGAGTCAATGCAGAAATAGATGACATCAAGGCAGAGACCTACAAGAAGATCAAAGATAAAAGGAGACTAAGGAAAAACAGCGTGAACTGAACACTTGGGTCCTGTGTTTTGAAATAAAATAGAAACCTTAATTGTTAAAGTCTTTTTCTTCCAGAATGAGAAGACTTTCCAGACAGTTTAGAAAGAAAGAAAACCAAAACCAACCAACCAAACAAAACCTTTTTACTAGGCTTTTCAGGTGGGCAGTAAATTACAGCTGCAGGGTTGGGGTAGGGGAGGAACAGTTGTTAGCCAAACTGAAATAAAATGTATTTTTAAAGGGATGTTTCTTAGCATTGCAGACCCTTGGATTTTGGTTAGTGCCTCCCACAGCTGTGATCTATGAGCAGGGCTGTGAGCCTGGTGTTTCAGGACTGAATTCTCTCCTTGTAGGTACGTTTGCCTGGAAGGAAGCTCTGCTCCCTGCCCTTCGGATGGGGTTCATGGATACAGATGTCCCAGTGGCTTCTACTGTCCTGCTGGCACCGGGGTAGAGCTGCCCTGTGAGCCTGGCTCGTTCAGCCCTATGCCTGGGGCGAGTGTCTGCCTCCCCTGCCCAGCTGGGATGGCCTGCAGCAGCTGCTGCCACCGTGGAGCCACTCAGCTGCCCCAGAGGTAAGCAGCACACGAGTGCAGCAAAACCCTTCTCATGCAATCAGAACAATCACGCACACCTCTTTCTGCCTGCCCATAGCAGTGGTTCACCCCAGGGAATGCCATATTTGCCAATAACCAGAGCAAGGTCAGCATTCCCACTTGCTCCTTTCTTTTCTGAGCAGTGTTTTCATTCACCTCTCCATGCACAGGTTACTATTGTCCAGCGGGGACTGCTGCTCCCCTGCCCTGCCCCGAGGGGACACTGAACGCCTTGGAGGGGGCCCTGGCCCTCGCTGCCTGTAAGCTGTGTCCTGTGGGGAGGTACTGCAGAGGAGATGCTAACTGGGAACCTGATGGTGAGTCTGATTAATAGCACCAGGGGGGTCACAGATTCAGGGCTGAAGGAATCCAGGGAAGTAGAAATCATATCTCAGAGAATAGAGGTAGTAGTGGAGGGTGCTCTCATATCCTGCCTGTTCCTATCAGGCATTTCTCTGTTTCATTCTTTTAATTGAGCATTTGTTCTGGGTGTTCGGTCTCCTCCTGCATTACTTTCCTTACTGTCCCTCAGTTTTTCTCTGCTTTCCCTCTTTCCTTGTTCTTAATGTTTTTACAGGTCTCCCTTCTGTCCTAAATACCACTCCTCCCTCCCCCACCACTTTCTTGTTTGTTGCTACTGGGCCAAAATGCAAAGGTGGGACACACGAAGAGAAGAAAGGCAGAACTCTTTTCACAGGAAACAAAATCTGAGGAAGAAGTTAGAGAATTTAGATAATAAAAAAACACCAGTTGAGGTCAGTACAAGTAAAGAAAGGAAGTGATAGATGGCATAGGTGGTGGGGAAAAGAGGAGATGAAACAAAGGTGAACAGTGCAGAGCATCAGCAGCATGATTACACAGGACAACGAGGGCTTCAACTTCTCTCCTCTGATTTATCTGCCGACTTCTGAGGTTTTGAGGATGCCACAGTGCCACAGCTACTCCCTCTGTTCTCCCATGGCAGGTCTGTGTTCAGCTGGGTACTACTGTGAGGGGGGAGCCACGGATGCTGTTCCACACGGGACTCCTGGGTTCCCCCTCAGCGGTCCCTGCCCACCTGGGCACTATTGTCCAGAGGGAACTCCCTTCCCAGTTGCCTGCCCGGTCGGGACCTTGAACAACAGCACAGGTGAGCGTGACTTCACCCCCAGGTTTCTCCTGTAGTCCACAGTGGTGGGGGACTTGGTTACAGGCAGCTGTGGTGCAGGGCTGCCCCTTGGTCACTGCAGGTTATTGATACGCTCAGCCAAGCCTGATAACGGCGATGTGTTATCCATACAAGTAATGCTTATGAAACTGATTGTCCTGGAGATGCTTCCATGTCTGCTGTCACTGATCTGGAGTTCTTCTTTCTTCCTCAGGTGGTAGCTCTCCAGAGAGCTGTGTGCCGTGCTATCCTGGGTCTTTCTGCGCTAGCCTTGGTTTAAGTTCTCCAACAGGACCTTGTACTGAGGGGTTTTACTGCCCAGCAAACTTCAGCTCCTTCAGCCCCACAGCATTCCTTTGCCCTAAGGTATGGTGAGTGATGTCTGGGCAGTGAAAGAGATGTGCCTCAGCTCTGGGCAGGAGGCATTTGTCTTCCACTGGTGGCAGACTCTCATACGTGCCTGATTGAAATGTTGATTGCATTCCCAGGGAGTGTTACCCCAGGCTTTGGTAATGCTGGGATTCACCCTTACACAGCCCCTAAGTTTGCCACCATCTCTTCCTTCTCTGTCATTTCCAGGGTCACTTCTGCCAGTCAGGGGCAGCCCAGCCAGCACCGTGCCCTCCTGGGGAATACCAGCCAGCCAGCGGCTCTGCGTCCTGCATTCCATGCCAGAGAGGATTCTACTGCCAGGACCTGGTGGCAGGAGACCCCAGGCGCTGCCCACCTCATTCTTACTGCCCCCCAGGTACACTGAAGCTGGCACGCTGGTTATGCTGAGGACTCAAACCATTGAGTCCCCAGAGTTGTACAGGCCCCGTGTGTGTTTTCCTGTAGCGTAGGGGATGAGGAAGTGACAATCAACAAATCTGACGTAGTGCCATCTGCCTTCCTGGGCATCATTTGTTACTCATTGATGCGGTTCCAGAGTCACGTCAGATCACAGAGGTCTTCCCAATTACTTTTTTTTTTCTGTGTTCTCCCTTTCAGGCACACGGTTTCCTCAGACCTGTCCTGAAGGCACCTTTACTCCTCCAAACATGACTGGCCTCTGGAATGAGAAGGAATGCCTGCCTTGCTTACCTGGCCACTACTGCAGGTAGTGACTGTTCATCTCAATCTGGTGTTTTTGCACTTTGTCTTAAGCACTTAGGCATCCTTGTTTTTTGCTGATAAGTCAATGCTAAGTTCCTTCCAGCTTCTCTATCTTCTCTCTCTCAAAGAATTAATTATAAGCCCAGACACAGCTTTTGGGTACAGAGGTGTTGGATCTGTGAATTTGGAGAGAGATCTTGAAGCAGTCTGGCATTGCCATGATGTAATAAAGGTAAAGGAGCATCTGAAAGAGAGATGTGGGTAGTGTTTGTGAAAACAAGAAAATAGTCCGGAAAGTCATCCACAACTTCATGTAAAACAATTTGCCCACATTTGTGGAACTTGAACTCAAAAATGCTTGGCTCACTTCAGTCACCTACATGTTTTTTTAAGTGGAAAAAATGGATCTATTTTTTCGCCTCTTATCAGCGTAACAACTTCTCTATTTACGTACCAAGTCATTATCAGCAGGTCTTACATAAATTCATCCTGTTCTCTCTGCTCCAGGCATGGGCAGCTGGAGGGCAAGTGTGCTGCTGGCTACTTCTGCCTCGCTGGGAGCTCGCAGTCTGCTCCACAGGGCCCTGGCTTTTCCTGGCGCTTTCTGTCTGGATGCCGCTGGGGCCAGGTGTGTGCTGGGCTGTGTCCTGCAGGTAAGGGAGACTCTCAGAAGTGTATAAATTGTAGAATAGTGAGTTTTTTCTATTTCTAACTGGGGAGCATCTATTACCTTGCATGATAATTGCTTAGAAGTTGTCATCGCTCATCAGCGTCCTCTGCTCTTACGTCGTTTGAACAAAGAGTTGTTCCTGGCCAAATATGCCACCTTGAATTTGTGGTGCTAAGCTGCCAGTCCAGAAGAGTCTGAAGGCTGTTGAATTGGCTCTCTATAGGCACAGAATCCTAACAGTTGTGTGATAGTCATCCTACAACAACAGGAGACTCTTGCTGAATCCTTTTTTTTTGCCGTTGGAGGGCTTCTGTATTTCACCTTCCTCTCTTTCCCATCTATTTCTATAGGTTTCTATTGCCTGGAGGGCTCTGAGGTGCCCACACCATGTCCTTCCAATACTATCAGAGATGTTCCAGGGGCTGGGCGGAAAGAAGACTGCCTGCCCTGTCCACCCGGCCGCTGGTGCAAAGCAGGTGGGACTTGGGGGAATGATGAGGGGGAGGGAATGAGAGTTGCTTTTCACGAGAGCTGTACGTATCCCTGAATCTGGTCAGGCTAGCTTTGGTATCAGATACTGTGCTGTGGGACAGTCCTTTACAGTCAATTACAGTGAAAGGATGGCTCCTTAAAGCTTGGTTTTCTGTTTGTTAGGGGACTCAGAGGCTTATCCATGTCCCTCAGGACACTATTGCCTTGGAGGTAAAGTCAGTGACCAAAGCAGTCTCCTGGCACCTCAGAAATGCCCTCCGCACACTTACCGCAAACACCCTGGAGCTCAGAGTGTGGCAGATTGCCAGCCGTGTCCTCCGGGCTATCACTGCCCTTTATCAGGTAAGTGCCAGATGAAAGCCCACCCACTCCCACCACTGGAGCTGATTACAAAACTCCCCAAGACGAGATAGGGAAGGGGAGAGGTTAGTTCATGTTCACAGTGAGCTTAGAGCTCTTCTCTAAAACACCTCCCGGCCATTCAGCCTCCTTTTCTTCATTCTTTTCTCTTCCCAACAGGTCTGACCAGGTTTGAGGATTATCCATGCCCCCTGGGATACTGGTGCCCTGGTAAAGGGGACGCTTTCCTTTGTCCACCTGGTACTTCCAGGAGCCAGCCTGGTGCAAAATCACTGGAAGAGTGCGATCCCTGCTCACCTGGATACTATTGCCCAGACCCAGCACACACAGGGCTACCTAACAGCCAAGGAGTACCTTGTAAACCTGGATTTGAATGCCCAGCAGGTGATATAACCATGCATCTTGGTTTTCTTTATTTCCGTCTTTTTCTGAGTCCAGATAGGTGAGCAGTGCGCAGCGGGCATAAGTAATCCAGGGCTAGATACTCAGGTGTGTTAGCATCTCAAGCTAAATGACTAATTGGTTTCCAGAGGATCTCTGTCCTTTTGTAAGCAATAGAAACAGTAGAGTTTTTATGGATAGTAACACTTAATAAAGCTCCATTGCTCACTGTCTTGCCAACACATGCCCTTCTGTTCTGGGAATGTCACATAAATCAGTCACTGGTTCCCCTTTTTCCCCAGGTTCAGTGAATCCAAAGCCTTGCAGGCCTGGCTCATACTGTGGTGCTCACACAGCCATGCCTTCCATGTGCCCTGCTGGATATTACTGTCCTGAAGGCTCATCAACCTACAATAGCCCTGAGCAGCTGTAAGTACTTCATGCGTTTGGTGGAGCCAGCTTTAAGTTTTTTTTTTTTTGAGTCCAGAAATCAGAACATTTTCAGAGAATTTTCTCCTCTCTTCCTGCCTTGTTTTGCTTTCCAGGTGTGTGTTTCCCTACTACTGCCCCCCAGGCAGTGCCCATCCACTGCCTTGTGAAGGAGGATTCATGGCCCTCAGCTTGCCTGGTCCAAGGGATTCATCTGAGAAATTCTGCAGAATCTGTGACGCAGGCAGCTATCGTAATGTCTCTGCCAGCGCTGCCCCCTGTCAGCCCTGCCCAGCAGGCTTCATCTGCCCACAAGGTAAATGGGGCTGCTAAGAAGTAGTACAAGTAGTTTGAATTGTAAGTAGAAAGCTCTAAGTTTTGTATGGGCAAAGCTCTTGATCCTCTACAGTTTTACATCCCTGGTGTGGGTGGAGGGGATGATCTTTTTCCTCCAATTCTGTGACTCAGCTGCGAGACCAGGAATTAAGATATTATCAGAAGTGTGAACCTAGGTGTTCAAGCCTTGCGGTGTGACAGCCAGTGCTGCATGGATCCTTCTGGGTAGGAGGAATAGCTTTACAAGCTCTTTGAGGTCTCTACTGGTTGGAATCCTCTGTTAAGTTCAGTGATGTGCTAGCTCATGCTGTAAAGCGTGGAGGAGAAAATGCCTACCCACTGTGGCCACTGGATTTGTCCAAAGAACTGGAACAAACAAGTCAAGACATTGAAATATAAATAGATTAAATTGGAAAATGTTGAATGGTGTTTAATTTTACGTGTCCGTATGTGTTTTTATGTATTTGCATGTAACATATAAAGGTGCATGTTTATGTGTAACTGGAACAAATAAGGGAGGTTCCGTCTGTCTTTTAACACTTGCTCAGTTCTGTAAGCAGTGTCTGTATCTGAGATAACCCCACTGCTTTTTCTAGGCAGTGAAAGTTACCACGACAAGTCTTGTCCCAGTGGCTACTACTGCCCTCCCCTGGCATCTGCCCCCCTTCCCTGTCCGCCAGGGACCCATGGGAGCAACAACTTTGCAAAGCAAATAGAGGATTGTCAGCCCTGTCCTGCTGGCACCTTCAACCACCTTCCTGCTCAGGCTGCCTGTTTTCCCTGCGGCAGCTCTTCTTCGTCACAGCCTGGTGAGTTGCTGTTCGTGAGTGAAACTTTCCCTGCAGCTGAGAGAAAATCTAATAAGAAAATCGCCCAGAAAAGTGATCCCTCGATGTGGTTTCCCCATGGACTGCAAGACACGGGTTCCTCATGATGCTGTGTGCGCTAACAATGCCCAGCTACTCTTCCTGTCCCACCTGGAAGGAGGATTGACTTTTTAAAGCTTTCTTTTGTCCCTTATCTTCTATTAGCCAAGTGGTTTTGATCTCATCTCCTTCAAAGGAAGGAATAGATGAGCAGCCCTACTAATTTGTGCTCTATCATTGCTTTGAAAGCAGTGGAGTACTTTTGCCTTTGCAGAGCTTGCAGTAAGTGTAGTTGTGGTTTTGAGCCAAAATTGGGCACTATGGCCACGTCTAACTGGGACCGTAATAAAGCAGGAAAAGACTGAAAAAGCATAGGGGAGGAAGCTAAGTACAGTAGAGAATGCATATCCTTTACTCCATGTGTTGTGCAGTATTCTTCCAGCATTTCAAGCCAAGTGGTTTTGGGAGTCTTGAGGCACAGATAAACTGCAGGCAGGAGCTCAGCAGCCTTGGCTGAGTCCTTATCCTGTCTGGTGGCTTAACCTACACGTTAACTGGTGGAAGGGGATGAGGACAGGTTGGCTCCTGTAGGCTTTCCTGTTGGCTTAGCTCTGCCATGCTAAAGGGACAGCAAACTCCAGGTGCGACTAAAACACCTGATTTAGCCAGAGTATTCAGCACAGAAACTGCTCCTTTACTGTGGGCACAGTTTTTGCAAATTATCTTCCTTACCCTGACTTCCACTTTACATCCAACCCTTCTCTAAGGTGCTACCAGCTGTACCTGCCATGGGCTGAACCGGGCTTTCCAGCAGTCCGATGCCTCCTGTATCTGCCAGGCAGGTTACGTGTACTACGATGAGCGAGGCAAGGAAAACCCTGACAGCAACAGCGATCAAGACTGCCTACCTCAGGTAAAACCTGGCTTCAAAACAGTTATTGCATGACACACGGGAGAGGGAGAGTAGCTTGATGCTTTCGGTGCTGGTTTTCAGGCTGTGGATGTGTGTGATCTGAGTTCAGTTCACTGAGCTGCTGCAGATGCAAGCAAGCACTTCAGCTGTTTTGTTCACTACCCTTGGCCCTTCCTTGTGGATCAATGGCATTTGTCTTCTCTCACAGAATCTCGCAAGGTTAAATTCATTGAGGGCTGGAGGCAAAAGATACTTGGGTGCTAGGACAACGGGGAGCAGCTAAGCACCTCAGGTGCCAGATACAGGAATTTAAGCCTCTGTATTTTCACTATGGAAACCTTCATTAGGGCTGGTTGAAGAATTTGGATGGAAAGTGAAAATGTTGTGATCTTTTTTCATGCTTTTCAAGTTGTCATTTAGCAACCCTTGTTGGATTGACATTATGTTGAAAACCAGTGATGAGCGGAAGGTTTTAGCGATGCTGCTTCTCTGTTGAAACACTAGAGCTTGTCAGGTTTCACAGGTCGGATGTCTTGTTTTTCTAGGTGGACGAGCTCTGTGCTCCTGGAGAGGTTCGTCTGGCATCTACGCGCCAGTGCGTTTTTCCCGAGAGATATGACTGCTCTCCATCCTGTGGGCCTGCAGGTGGAGAGATTAATGCAGAGCTGGGCATGTAAGTCTCAGCCTCTCATTAAGAAGCACTTCACGATTAGTTCTGGCTGGCTAAGTTACTGAGCCCATGAGGTAATTCCAGGGTAGGACCTGTGGAGGTGTTTTTGAGAAACTTTCCATTGTTGGAGTTCCTTTGTGTGGAGATGCTGGCCTTCAGTCCTCGTTCATTGGCCTCACTCCTCTTTGTGTGTATTTAAAATTACCTAGTGATTTCTATGTAATTGGATGGAAACAACAGAGTGACCACCGACTGATGATGTAAGAGTGGATAAAGCTCACATTTTCGAAGGGAGAGCTCTTCCACGTATCTCAGATTAAGCCCACCTCAAGTGGATGATGATTTTATTAGAGTTATAACAGAATCAAAACCAGTTCTTATCCCCTCCTTCTAATGCTGATTGAAACTAGTTCTTGTCATATGCTGTTTTTTCTCTTCATGAATGAACTCCTGTATTGCAGAATCTCCTCCTGACATGCATAGCACAGAGATTTGGTGTGTTACAATTATACTCCGTGGCTTTCAACCATTTCATCAAGGCAGAAGGCTGGGGAGGGATACATGACCCTCTGCTCCAGACTGTAACTAATCCCTGGTAGAGAGGGGGCTATCCCATTTTGGCCTATCATGTGTGGTCCTTGTGCTAAGGAAGAAGTATTGAATAACAGGCACAGTACTGGTTGAGATGGACTCTGGGTTTGCTTTATCCTGTTTTCCATGACTATAGAGTAGGTCCACTCATTGTGTAGATTGTAAGATACCAGGGCTAGCCTGACCCTCAGTATTTTGTAGCTGTTTGCTCGTGGATTGTAAGTAGTCAGGACCTTTTTTCTGCTGTGCAGATGTCACTGCAAGCAGTATGTCTCAGCGGAGGAGCTCTGTGACCAGTTGTGTTTGCTGAAAGCCCCACGGATCTCCTTGAGATTTGGCATCAAGAGAGAACTGCTTCTGAGGATGAATGAGGGAGAAGTCAGGGTAAGTGTGGATCGTGTGAGAGCCTGGAGAGAGCCCTTAGAGATGACAGTTACATGAAGAGGCCCCTGGGGGCTGATGTTGCTGAAAGGTATGAAGCTGTGAGCAGACAGAAGGGAGGCTCCTTATGTCTCATGGCCCAGAATACAGATCAGGCAGGATGCTGCCTTCCTGAGAAATGGCAGTTCCAGAATTGTGGCGAAAAACCTCCCTAGAGCAGTCTGCACAGCTGAATATAAGGTGTGATCACAACCAGGGGCTGAGCCCAGGGCTGATCCTGTCAGTGATCAGTGTTCCCCTTTGCTTTTAACAGGAGGTGGCAAATGTTCTGGGCCCGGACAGCCATGTGCAGAAGAGCCAGCGGGTGCATTTGGTTCTGTTTAGCCCTGGTGGAGTGCTAGGTTTTATTGTCTCCAGCACAGATGTTTTGGATGCGTTTCTCACAGGTAAGGTTTGAGAGCTCCTCAGGGTGAACTGAGATCCCAGCCAGGCTCAGCTGTCAATTTACTTTCAAGTCTGCACAGCAAGAGGACAGCAAGTTGGCACAGAGAGGGTCTTTATTGTCAAATTAAGATTTTAGGTTGATTTTGGCCTTCCAAAATTGCGAAAAGTAAACTTCCTTTGGTGGCAAATCTGTTAGTATGTGTGCTGGCTCTCAATTCCAGTGTAATCCCGGTGCATGGTAGTGTCATTTAGAGTAGAATTTGGGCTTGTGTGCTCAAACCATCCACAGATACAAAAGAGTTCTGCATTGCCAAGGGCTGGGTGTTATCACATGCTGCTTGTTTTCCAGAGTTAATGCTTTCTTTTTTTTCTTCTTTTTTTTTTTCTGTTGCTTGTGGCAGGCAATTTTTCATCAGATCAAGTGCTGCAGAAAGGTTATGAAGAGCAGAGGGCTTTCTTCAAAGATACCCATGCTTTGCCCCTCGTCCCTAACCCACTGGTATGTCTGGAAGCAGGAGACACAATCCTTTTCCAGCTTCGGATCGATTTTCACAGTGAGTATTGCTTTGGTCTGTGTGCTCGTTGTGGATATATCAGCGTTCAGAGCAGTGACTGTACTTGTGGTAGTGCTGCATGTACAAGCACATCTCTTCACCTCCCAGACTGTCTTGCCTTCAAGGGATTCCTCATCGTTAGTCTAGGCTCTGCCAGTGACTCATCTGGTGTTTTTACATTTTGACTGGATTTCTGTAGGCTACAGATAATGTATTTCCTTCTGTTAGAAGAGTGTGTTTGCCGGGTAGCAAAACTGCTGGGCAGTTCAAAGGAGCTGATGCTGAGACCACCAGCAGCTCTCCTAACTGAAGTGGGTCAAAGTTGCTGACGTTGTGCTGAACTGTTCCCAGATCGCACATCCAGCCATTACCCAGTTTATCAGAAGCAGCATCTTTACAACAGCAACCCCAGCTGGGATTTTGGACCCTTCCGAAGGCTAGACCACCTCGTCCAGGAGACTCGCCTCAACATCTCCTGGTAATATCTGGTGTGACTAATTGTGCATGTGTTAGGCGCAGGATTTGAGAGTGAGTCTTTCACATAATTGCTAGGTCCTTGGCAGCGAACAGCATGTGCAAATACAGAAATCTGCTGTGTTCATGTCCGTGTACTTAACTGTCATCACTGCTGCAGGCTAAAGGACGCTTAGATCAACCTGTGCCTTCCTTCTTTGTCCCTTTTAGGTTTGCCCATGTTTTCCTGGAATCTGGGACATATGTTTTCAGGGATAGGACCATTCAGGAACACTTCTTGATTGTGACTGTGAATGAAGCAAATGTGGGCTGCGGCCCCAGAAATGTGTCCTTCCAGCCCTCTTCTCTGTTCCAGCTGGCCAGACATGGGGTTCTGAAGCACCAGGAGCTGAACTTAGCTCCTAACTGGGCTGCTATCACAGGTACAGCCAAAATGCTGGGGGATTTTGAACTCTGATGCTTTGACATAACCTTCATTGTACCTGCTTGGGTGTGTTTAAACCAGCATTTCTTAAGAAATGCCATCAATCCATGGGCTGTGTCATTTTTAATCCATTTCCCCTGTCAGTTTTTCCTTCCTGAAGTTCACGGCTCTGTAGCCAAGAACCTGCTTGTGGAGGAGCAGAAGGGAGAGAGCGGGAAGGAGCAGTTATATTTCTACCCACACCCTGCTTGAAGAATTCAAGTAATTGAGGGCATTGTTTCCCTTGGCATGAAAGCAGAAAGTGTCAGTATGTTTCCATGATAAACTAAACTGAAATTAAATGCATCATTTAAGAGTTCACTAAAGGGTAACCAGAAGGGCAGTTAAGGTCTTTTCCCAAAGCCTCTCTGTAAGTGTTCTGCCTGTACCAGACTCTTGTCCTTCAGAGAGAGGACAGCAAAATGATGGAAATGAAAGCAGGAGTCTTGGTTCTCTTAACTACCTGCATGGAAAACATTTTCTCTCCTTGCCTGTGTGTACCAGATCAGGGAGGGGAGGAGCAGAAGCCTGTGTGATGAAGATGAAACTTGCTAAATGTTGGTTTCTGTGGGAAGGAGAGCATTTAGTGGAGTGTAGAGGGAGACAGTGCTATTGACACAAACTGCTTCTTGTGTTTCTCACTTCTTGCCATCCCTTGTGGCTTCCCCAGCGGTGCTCTTTGTTCTGGGCTTCTTAACCGTGGTGCTGACAACCCTGGCTATTGTGCTGCAGCCCACTGTGCCCATCCTTAACCCCCTGAAGAGCTGGAAGCCACGGTGGAGGAGCCTGGGTGAGCCACACATCTCCCCAGAGTACGTCCTTCTCAAAGACAGGTAAGCTGCCTTCGGGTGGTAGATAAGCAACAGCTCACGCCTCAATAGTACCAAATCATGTCCTGCTGCACTTCTGCCTCCTTCAGTCCCAGGGCTGGACTCCTGGCCAGCAGCACAATAGCCTGAGTTTCTGGCTGCATGGGAAGTTTCTTGGTGTTCCCCAGCAGTGTTTCAGCTCTCTTCCAGCACAGTGCATGACAGCTCTACCGTGCCCTCTGCACTGAGTACTGTTCTAAGAACTGCCTGACCCAGGCTTCCTCTGTTTGTTTTGAACCTAGAGAAAAAAAAAACATTCTTCTGCTTGAACTGAAGTAGTGATAGGGCAGTGTCTGATTTGACCAGGGTGAATGTGTATGTCAGACACAGAGATGCCCTTCACCAGCTTCTGTCCTTGCCTCTAGCCTGCAGTACTATCAGACGCTTGGCCCTCGTGGTTCTGGAGAAGATGCTGGCTTTGGAGAGAAAGGAGCTGCACATAAGGAAGGTGAAGTGATGTGCCAACCCCAGCTGTTTTCCCATTGCTTTCTTACCACTTGCTCCCCATTCTGTGTCTTCTGTTAGCCTGGTATGATGATTTTGATACCTGCTCACCTAGAAATATGTTCACACATGGCCACAGGCACTTTTACTGCTTTGCACTCGTATGTAGATGTTTATAGATGTTTACACACACGTCTTTTTATTTTAGGTTCACTTAATCTCTTTAGCTGGGGACTGTAACCTCCCATCATTGGAATGAATTAGTGTTTTTTTTTTTTTTTTTTTTCCATTACTATGTTTTCTTTTTGCCCTCCTAGAAGGTAGGAGGGCAAGTGGCTAGCTCTGAAAAATAATTTGGACCAACATTGGGTTCAAATGATTAGTGAAGAAAAAAAAGATCTTTAACAATAATCCCCTGGACTATTTTGTTGTTTATTCTATTCTCTGAATGCATGTGATTCGTGGGCCTAAAAAGGCCTTCGATGACCTCATCTTGGCAATTTCAGGATGTTCACAGCACGTCTGGAGCCCAGTAGATGGCACTATCTAGTGGTGCTGAGAACAGTTCATGGAGAAACTACCACTCACAGCTACAAATCTGGTAGAGAAGTAGCACCCTGACAGTTTACTGGACAAGTTAGAAGTTGATAGTAACGCTCCGTCATCCTCCCCCTTACTAGGGAATGAGACCTTTCCTTATGTGTCTTGCCTATTCATGGTATTTACTCTCAGTACACAAAACACTGTTGCCTCCTATGGATAGTGAGTGCCCCTTGGGGGGTAATAGAATAGATTTGTGGCCAGTGGTCAGGCTTGAGACTTACCTCGTGTTTCAGAAGAGTGTTTTGCAGTGAGAGATCTGGAGGATTTCAGTGTTCGCACCCTGTATGATAAGCTGGAGGATCAGAATTTGCACCTGGCATCTCAGCTGGCAAAACACAGGATGGACGTGCTGGTGTTTTACAACGGAGTCAGGCAGCAGATTCAAGGTCTCACGGTCAGTGTGAAGAAACAATTGAGGGAAGGGGAGTCTTGGAACTGTGAAACTTGTGAGATGGATGGTTCCCCTGAAGTGGGGAATGATAGGTCTTACTCCCCACTGTACCCTATTTTGATTTTATTGTACACTAATTTTTTTATTGTACCCTAGCATAAAATAGCTCGTGCTAATCTCTGTTTTGATATGAGAGCAAGAAAGTGAAATGAATGGATTGTGAGGCTTGCAAAGTAAAACGCTATTTTGTTGTAAACAGGACATGGTGCAAGCACTGGACTCTGAAGGCCGGAAAATCTTTGCCAGGCAAAGGATTTGCGGGCATAAACCTGCAGAGAGCAGCTGGGCAGCAGTGGGTGTTGAACCGTGTGATGAGCACTGTAGCAGCAACTTCCGAGCAGTAGGGCACACAGGTGAGAGAAAGGGCAGAGCAAGAGAGAAGTGGAGCGGGAAGGAAGAAACAGTGGAATGGTTGAAAAAAGAAAAAAAAAAGGCATGTCTCATACGGATGAGCTTGTGTCTTCCAGTGTTGTTGTAATTCTTGAAGAGTTGACAGCCTGTTGACAGAATACAGGTCTGTCAGCTTAGGCACGGGTGAGCACAGTTACAGCACCTCCCAGAAGTCCAAGCCTAATGAGTATGGCAGTGTCTGGTCGTCTTTTTAGGAGGCATCTTGAAGCCATCTGGGGAAGTTTCAGAGAAAGGTGCCTGCTCTTGCTTTTGCTCTGGTGATGACAACTTGACAGTTCTGTAGAAGTCCAATTTAATTGCTTATTGGGTTCCATTAGGTGCACCATGGCAAGAGGTAACAGAGTTAATGAAAGCTCTGGAAATCCTTCTTGGGAGAGCTCAGCACAAGAATATCTCTGTGAAACAAGAGATGGAGCAGCAGGCCCAAGGACAGGATGCACCAGCAGTTGTACCCTCACTGGGCAGCCTGGCAAGTGAAAGTAATGCAGAAGTAGGGGAAGGGCAGGTGAGTTGCAGGTGTCTGTTGCAGGGCCATCTCTCACCTTTCTGCAGTTTTTTTCCACCTGCCCATTTCTTTAACTCTTGGACCCTCTTTTATCCCACAGGATCATGAGCTGCTTCAGCAATATGAGCTTTTCTGTAGAAAAGGTGCTCTTTTCAGCTTCCCTGGACATGACGAACACAGTGAGTATGCCATGGTTACTCAACAAAGGTCACAATAGAAGGCTGACTCAGTGAAGCCTATGTTAAGAGAGGATCTGTATTTTGCTAACAGAACAAATGTATAATCACCTTTCCCCATTGATGCTGTTTTTACTCACACATAATTCTTTTCATTGAGGTGGATAACTGGAAAATTCTCCAGTTTAGTAAAGCTACTTCTGCCCCCTGTTCCTTAAAAAGAGGGAACCCAAGAATCTTTCATCCCCACAGACAGGCATTCTCTCTGCTGAATGAAGTATTCCTTTGTGGCAGCATGTTTATTGCAGTCATCCAGCCATGAAGAGCTTCTTCTAGCTTCAGGTGTTAAAAGTGTCCCCCCGTTTTTAGATCCCCAGCTGGCTTACCTGTGTGAGCTGGAGGTGGAAGGCCTGATAGCAGCTTCCCCCCTTGCCAAGACTCTGTGTGAGATCAAGCAAGCTTTGGTGAAGCTGCAACAACCTTCAGACCGTTGTAATCCAGGTAACAAAGCTTAGTCTGTATTGCAGTGTCTGTTTCCCTATAGGGGATAGAATATAAGGTTATAAGACTGGCTGGAAAGAAGTCCCTCATCCTTGCTGTCTTGGTAAAGCATTTGCACACAAACAGTATCTGCTGCTGTGCTGCTGGGCATTAGAAGGAAGTCACCAGAAGACTGATAAGCCAAACAAAGTGTTTGAATAATTCACGTGTGTAGACTGAAAAAGCCAGCTTGCTTGGCATGTGGCATCAGGGAGTTTTAAATCCTTCTGTAAGCAGAATTAGAGGAAGTTCCAAGCAGCAGGCCAGGTTTCCTCTGCCAGCCTTTTCAAAGAACTCCCCAGTAGTTACTGGCATGCTTAGGGGGCTGGGCTACCAGTGCACTCTCAGACAGTGTTGTGATGGAAAAGAAACTGTGGCTTTGGAGTCTTGCACAGGTCATGGCACAGGGCTGCTGCACAGTGAGCAGACAGCAGCGAAGGCGTGAATAAGAGGTGTGGCAGACGGCTGCCATGTGCAAGAGGGACAAGATGGAGCATTCAGCTGGCTTAACATGTACCTCAACAGCTGTTTTCCTGCTTTTCAGAGAAATGTTTAAGTGACAGCTCCTCAGAAGATACGAGGAGTGCCCTCATCCCCACAGACCTGGCCAGTTTGTCACCTCACCAGTTCGTGGTGTACCGCTTTGGCTGTGCAGTGGTGCGCCTGTTAATCGGGGCCTGCTCATGCCCTGCTTTTGTCCTCTCACTGGCTCACTCAGTTCCTGCCCAAAGTCCAGGCCGAGAGCTTCTCCCAAGCCCTGGGGACTGCTACTATGATGCCACCACGAAGTACCTCTACATACGTGCAGCAAGGCTGGAAGATGCAGGGGAATTTACTGCTCTCCTGCTGAACGCTGTGGCGTGGATCACAGCAGGTACAGGTGTGAAGAGGAGTGTGTAGCCTGTGGTAGAGGCAGTGTCTGGTCTTCACGTTGGTTCTGCATGTGGGAAATGACACCTTGTGTTGAGATACGTAGGTAAATAGGGGGGGTCCTGTTCCCAAAAGCAGGCAGGATTTTATGAAACCTAGGAGCATCAGTTTGGTTGTTTTTTGTTTTTTTTTTGTGTGTGTCAAAAAATGTCTGTGTCATGGATAAACGGTATACTTGTACACGTTAAGTGTGCAAGAACAGGAAGAAGGATTGCCTCTGATGTTCTGACTTAAAACAGTCTTGATGTCAACAGATATGTCCTGTTCCTTTTCCTTTGCTTTAGGTTGTCCCTCAACTGGTATCGGTCATTCCTGCTTTCTGATGGAGCTCAACAGAGCTATCATGGCTCTTGCCAATGCTTTTTTCCTGCATTCATGGGGGATAGCAGAGAAGGTAAATGTAGTGATTTCCTCTAATGGCAGCAACTATCTAACCTGCAAACCTGAAAGCCAGGAGGCAGAAGCAGTATAAAATGATTTTTTTAGGAACTGTTTTTTTTTTTTTTTTTTTTTTTTTCTGGCTGAGCCTGATCATCTCTGGAATTGTGATGTTCTGTGCAATATTTGGGTGTTTGATTTTTTGTCTCCAACTTCAGCATTCTTCAGGAGGTTGCTTAGCTGTTCATTTTGACCCTCAGAAAGTGCTCAAAGAACTTGTCAGCATCAGAGTATCACCGCTCCCATGTGTCAAGGAAAAAGCCCCAGAAGAGAGGTAAAACTCATCAACAGGTTGCTGCCAGAGAAATAGAAGCATTCATACTATGTATAATGATTTACTTTGTCTTTCTAGACAGTGGATATGTTACTCTTCTGTTTTGGGTGGCAACACGTTGTTTCTGTCAAAGTCTGTGCTTCCCAACATCCTATTTTTTTCTGTTCACGATCTGGAGTCCTGAATCAGCTTTGCTGTACTGGTACAGATTCAGGATTCCATTATGAAGATCAATTTCATCATCTGGCTTTTAAGCTCTAGGAAAGTCATTGACCAGTGCCTCGGTCATTTGTTTCAAATATTCTTCAGGCATATAACTGAAGCAGAGAAATCCCTTTTGCTAATCATAGAATCATTAAATGATTTGGGTTGGAAGGGATCTTTAAAGACCTAGTCCAACTCCCCTGCCAGGTACAGGAATGCCTCATACTAGATGAGGTTTCACAAAGCCCTGTGCAACCTGATCTTGAATGCTTCTTATTTGGGCAACCTGTTCCAGTGCCTAATCAGCCTTGTGGTAAAAAACTGTCTTCTAATATCAAATCTGAATCTAGCCTCTTTCAATTTGGAACCATTACCCCTTGTCCTGTCCTTACAGAATGTGGCAAAAAGCCTTTCACTGTCTAATCTACCAGACTTACTTGGAGATATAGTGCTATCCTGTATGTTTGCCTGCCTGCCTTTCTTCCTTCATTCATTCTTTCCATTCTTCTGAAAAAGAAATAGATAAAATATGGGCTGTACTTCTGTGATTCCTTCTTGAAATTCCTGTCATGTTTACTTCCCAATTAGGGTGTCTAATCTGGAAAAGTACCAGGCCCTTAAGCTGCAAGTGGAGACCCAGGACAGGATGGAAAATTCCCAGAAAAGTGACTACAACTGGATGTTAGATTCCTCTCCTGTTAAGGTCAGTCATTCATTTTACTAGTTTTTCTCTGACAGTCATCCATCAACATCTCTAGAACTTCCCCTGATATTTTGAGTGTGCAGGGGAAAAAAAATGAAAAATTCTTTAGTGTTTAGGAAGTTAAGAATTTGTTTTCTCTTTTAACTCTCACCCTATGCACGATGATGATAGTCATCAAAGATCTCAAATTATGTGTATTGATTTAATACAGAGTCTTATAATACAGAGAGTCAATTCAGAGAGTCTTAATTTCAGAAAAGTATGAAGTCCTTATGCTCTAGAAATTAAGTATGAACACCTAAACTTTTTAGTAATTTTTTGACAATCTTGTTCAACCTCAGTCTGACAGACACATTAAATTGATTGGCCAATGCCTGCAAAACAACAGCATCACTTCTGTGTTTCTCTCTTGCTACAACTCCTGCTAAGAATTTGCATTCAGTGAGACATCTTCTTTACTCGCAGTTATGACATGACCTGTATCCTCTGAATTGGCATGCCTGTCTCCAAGACTGACTGTTCCCTGCTAAAAGATACTGCCATTGTAGAATGTGTGTTCGTTGTTTTCCATGAAGGTATTTTGTGTTCTTTAGCTGAAGGTTGCGAAACTGGAAGAGAGGCTGGATGAGCTAAATGAGGAGTTTTTTGACCTGACAGTACGGGCCTTGAGCATGAAGGAAGATGGGGAGTCGTTGGAGGAGGAACTGAGAATGCAGGAAGAGGCATTTACGGTATGAATCAGCTTTTGCTATTTAGTCTTTGACCAGCTGTAGAGCAGTGGCCACAGCAGCTCATCTTTACATAGGCACATGCCCTTGTGATTCAGCTTCATTGCATTGCAGAGGTGAAGGAAGGTGAAAAAGGCACACCAGCAAACATGTGCTTGTGCCAATCAGTTGCGTTCCAAGTCTGAACCTCCATAAGCTCCAGTATCTTTATTTCAGAGTATTAGACAATGGAAGAGATTCTTTTTTTGCTTAAACATAAAGATTGTCTTTTCATGTAATTGTCCCCTTACTTAAAGTTTTTTTTGCAAGGTAAGTGGTATAACTCACATACTCCATGTCCTTACAGTGTAAGTATCAAGGTGAGCTCAGTCCACAGCTGTGGTTTCAAGCTAACGAGTGAGAAGCAACAGCTTGAATTAAATCCTGTGCTTCATCAACACAACCTGGGAATCAGGCTTCCTTTGATCTCCATGCGTGATACTGGATAAGTCCTGTAAATTCCTTGTTCATTAGTCTTTCCATTTATTTCTCAAAAGCCACTATGTAAGCCACAATGATAAGCAGATTCCTTGAGTCGTACGAAGAGTGACACAGCCTATCCTTAAGCTATGTAGTAGAAAGCAGAGGTGCTGAGAATTCAAACACTGTGTAGAATAACATGATACTGAATGAAACTGCGGTTTTTAAGAGAAAGCTGTGGAGAACAGCCATTCAGGTACAAGTCCTTTTATTTTTCTTGTGTCTTTTGGTCTCCCAGCAGGTACTTTCAAAACCACAGGGGTTTTGTTTCTTACGAACTCGTCTGTTAGAGCTTTCTGGTTCATCACAAAAGATTCAGGTGAAACCATTATAATACAGCCAAGTTCTGTGATCTTAGGGAGCAGTTTACCTGCAAGAGAATAAGAAGCCTCTTCCTTTTCATGTATACCTGTTTCTAGCAGTAAATAAAGAATTAAAATAAGCTGGATGTCTTCTGCACTGAATATTTACCTCCAGCTGTTGCTGAATTTTTAGAGTGTGATGCCTAGAGCTTGAAATTATTACTGGTGTGGCTTTGATGTAATAAGGCGTGGGTTGTTTGCAGTATTTTGAAATTCAGATACAGTGAGCTCTGTAAAGGTCAGAATGTGCAATGAGTGTGCCCTATGCAGCTCGCTACATGCTCTTGAGTCACTGCGTCAGCGTATAGTGCTGGCAGTAGATCCTGTCCCAGACCTGTCCACTGGGCCAGGTGGCCTTGGTGGTGCCTTAGCCATCCCTTGATGCTGTCCACTGAATCTACACTCTGCTTTTGTTTTGATTTTCTGTAACAGACTGCAAGCAACAAACGAGTGTGGGGAGCTCAGCAATATTCGGAGCTGTTGGATTCTTGGGCCACAAAGCGGGATGAAGCCCTGCTGCTGGAAATAAGGAAGAACTGCATTGCTCGGAGGATTGAAGAGATGGAAGCAGAACTATTTTATCTTCAGCAAAGTAAAATAGGCACCAGCCAATTTCCTTGAGGAACCTAGCTCATAAATCAATAGCTAAAGGCAGATTATGGGAACATGTTTGAATCTGTGGACAGAGTGCTTTATCTGAAATATCTTGACAGATACATACATAGTTGGAGTTGCACTTGGTCAAATATGTCATGAATAATCTATATTCTGTTTGCTTTAATTGGTTGAAGTACATTCACGCTTACCCTCAGTCATCAATAATTTTCTGGGCTTGAGAGGAAAGCTGAAGTTCTTAACGTTGTTTACTAATTTCAGAGTTTTCATTGCTAAATCAGTAAAGCAGAAAAGATGAGAGGCTGTGGGTCACTCCATCTTACCAGTGTATTCTGTACTGCCTTTTTGATCTCTGATATCAAGGATAGTTGTGAGGATCTTTTAGGTACAGTTCAGAGCAATACTTCAAAGCCTTGCCCAGCATTTCTATGCTGCCTATGCATGTTTTCAATAGAATCGTATTGATCTCAGTAAGGTCTGCTGGCAGAGACCTTGAAGGCCTTTAGAGGTGTGATGTTTGGGCAAAGTATGCTTAAATCATTCCCTGTAGTAGAGCATGCAGCAAGCTGGGTATCTGCTGGTGTCCAGTGCTCTGGGAGCTTGATCTTTAAATAGAGTATATCTTTCCTACCATTTCTAATCTTTTAGTCTGTCTTTATGATGCCAGGAGACCCTGACTGCAGAATAGGCTTTGTTTCTGAGGATTGAGATTGGACTCAGCACACCTACTGTCTCTTTCTGCACAGTATTCCTTAGCTCCAGGTGAAGCAGCATAACATAAACTTGCTCATCTGTGAGCTAGCACAATGCCTTGGCAAACCGCGTTGGTAGGCTTCAGCCAACTGTTTCCAACAGCAAAGTCTGTTCTTTTTCATTTCAGTGTTTACTGAATTGCTTATGTGTGAAGAGGTTTGTGAACCCACTCCTTCCTGGTTCCAAAACACAAACCTGTGCTTACTCATTCTGCCTTTGCATAACCACAGAGGGTATTAAGAGGGTGAGACCTAAGTGCCTGGGAGCTTATACAGAAGCTCTCAGCTTTAGTTCCATAAACTGGTGTCTCTCCTCGATCCAGAGGAACTGCCTGTTTTTTGCCCTCACCTACTCACTTTGGTGGTTCCACATTTTCTGAGCTTGCTCCCAGAAGCACAAGCTTTGTTGTAGTTCCTTTGCACCTTGGGAGAATTTAGTTATTTGCTGACACCTTGAAGGGACTTTCAGAAAATGAGAGGATTTTAGGAAGCAAAATGTACCTACATGCAACCATTACAAAACACCGTGATTGCCTTCTTCTGGGATATATAGTAATGAAAAGGCTGTCATTGCTCTCCTAATTGCTTTATTTTCAGGTTATCAGCAGATATAACAGTACGACATTGACATAAGTATCTTCAGTGACTGCTGTCTGTAATATCCACTGGAAAATACAGTACACAGGTGATAGAGTTATCTCTGTGTGCTGTGCTTCCAGCCAATATTTGTAAAAGGTATGTCGGAAGGCAGTAGCAAGTGAAATCTGACAATTTTTTTCATTGCAATAGTTTTCCAATGAAAATAATTACTTTTATTTTAGATCAGAACAAAGATGTGTATATAGGGTTTTGCTGATTTTTTTTTTCCTTTTTCCCCACTGTTGTTTTCTTAACAAGTACACTTCAGTTATAAATAAATAATTCTGTGTTTCAAATTATTTTTTTTCCACAAAATAAAAGATTATCAATGAAAAGACCAGAATTTCACACAGCGTTTTCTTTTCATGTTCTGTTGATGGTTACTGAAAGAAAGAACAAATACAAAGAGGAGTGGTGCAACCATTATTTTTCTTCTTCTTCTAAAGTATTTACTGTTGATAGCTCTTTTTCTAGTGTTCTCTGAAACCTTCTGGAAGTCAAGCTTGTCTGGAGTAGCTCTGAAGTCCCCTCACGTTTGGAAGGCTGCTGTTTCCCTGAGACTGCTGATAAGACTGACCAAGTCCAGGGTGACTTAATTTGGAATTCGAAGAAGGATCACAGGGCTGTTGTTTTTCCTTCAGTTGTTTTGACTTATGCCTCTCTTAATAGAAAATGAAAGGCCCTTTTCAGCATTCAGGGTAAAGTTTAGCTTCTCATAGAGAGCACCAAACATGGCTGTGAGTGTGAAAAGGGAGGTATGGTGAGTTCCCTGACCAGGAACCTCTCCAGCTTACAGCTGTGTGTGGCTCTGAAGCAACACCTGCTGAAACTGGGTGGTTTCTGCTGCTTTTGTCTTCCAGTGTGAAGCTTATCAAGCCTCCTAGTGTGTTAACAAAGCCAGACAATGTTCCAGTGGTGTGTGTCGCAGTTACTGAGGCCCACCTTGACTGTGCTCATTATGTAGTTAATCCTTGCTTCTCATCCAGATAGAGCTCGATACAGTGCTTTCAAATGCTGTTGGAAGAAAAGGTCCAGTGAAAACAACTAATGAGAATGTCCATCCGAAGAAAACGTCCAGTGAGGATTTCATTAGGATGTCAACGCAAATGAAATGCAGTACCAGTCCGGATCTGCTGGCAGAGTCTCTGCACATTTTCACACTCAGTGCTTAAGTACAGGCCAGTTAATTAAGCCTATTCAATTGCCAGCTACAAACATAACAATAATGAATATCCATTGAATTCTCTTAGACTGTAGCAGATGCAGGTTATTATGACCCAGCTTACCCCACAGCAAAAGAATTTTGTGCTGAACTATACAAATGAGTTTTTGCCTTGACTAAAAGCACAGGTTGTTTTAACTTGGCTGACTTAGAGTGAAAGGCAGATAACTTAAGGTACCAGAAATCGGACATCTGAAATTAAGTTGCTTTTTAAAATGGTCAAATGAAAGTTAGGATTACCTCCCTGTAGGACAGAGGTTTCCTTACAATCTCAGTCTTGACCTCCAAAAAAAACCCCAAAACTTTCTTTGAAGTTTCTGGTTTTATGCCATGCTTTTATCCCTAACAGGACATGAAGGTTCTCAAGAAGCTGTGTTTATGCCACTGTTGAAAGATCACAGCATTGTCGCTCCAAAGTTCCCGTGTTGGTGGCCTAAGGTAGGTGTTTCTGTAATGTTGTTCTCAAACCTGAGAGGAGAAAGTATTGTGTCCACTGTGTTCCTCAGGAAGGAATAAAAGCCTGAGGTAAAGAAGAATGCTTTAAATTTACGGTCAAAATGAGAAGTCTTTTCAGAAGTAAAAAACAAAACAAAAACCAAACTACAGCTAACTAGAAAAGAAAATGCTTGTTAATAGCTTTTCATTGTGAAGTACTGGAATCGTAGATGACTTGGTGTGTGCCGCAGAAGTACCAGAATGGCATTTGATCTTTTCTTACCAGCTTCTTTTTCTCTTCTCTGGAGCTAAATTGGGAAGGCGGGAAGATTTGAAAATGTCACCTACTGACCGAAAACTAGAAAATGTGGCAAGTAAACAACCCTGCTTTTGGAAGTTCCATCCACAGAAGGTAAGCCTCTGGCCTGAATGGGATTTAATACTTAGGCTGAAATACTAAATGCCTCCTTCCTATGACAAAAGAAGTCTCACTGTAGCTAGTTCATCAGTTTGAGGCCAGGAACACGCTTAATGACTTTGCCAAATGAAGCCTCGTTTCTTGCAGACACAGGGTGAATCATAGAAATTGACAGCTGCAGCCCCAGGTGTCTGCTTTCAGGGTCAGTCTTGTAATTGATTCATCTTTAACTTGGTAGTTTTAGTTCTGAAGTTGTTGAAGTATTCAATTAACGTGTCCTTAGTTGTCTCCTCTAAACTTTTACCTAACCAACTTTGTAAATAACTTTATAACTCCTCATATGGATCATATCTCCATGGGATGGACCCTGTCCCATCCGTGATGTCCTGTAATCCTGCTGATTTGCTGTGCTGAGTACTTCTTCATACCCTGCACAATGAGAAACGTACTAAACCTGCATATAACATTTAAGATAATCTTGTAAAAGTAATAAATAAACCTTTCTTCTTCAAGGTTCCTCTTAAAAAAAGGCTGTAAAATCTAATCAGTCAAAACATAACTTCCCTCTATAAAACACCCAGTGATACATTGATCTCAGAATAAAGATAAGTTTGCAAACAATTTTAAAATTGCAACACTTGATTGTGTGCAAATCTTTTGTTGCTGAAAATTCTTTGATTTAAATGAAAAGATCTCCAAAATGTATTTTTAACAGTGACCCCTAAATAAGAAAAGGGCTGTTGGGACTTTCCAGTAAGGTTCCCTACATGCTGATGATTGTACAGTGAATTCACCTGTGTCCATGTGAACACTATATGACAGTCTTCGATATATTCATTATTTGCGTCATGGAAGAAGTAGTATCTATATTTTCCACAAGGAACGCATGCTCAAAGAAAGATCCCAGTCAGACAGCAGTTTAAATGCCTTTGTAAGTAAAACAGCTCTCTGCCATTAAATCCAAAGGGGAAGGATGTGGTCAAGGATGTGGTCAACTATATTCCTCTGATTTAAATGCCTTCAGTATAGCCACTATTCTATATGTGTTATTTGTTCTGACTTCTGTTAATGCATACTTTGAATCCAGTGGGTAGCTTCTCTTCTCTATTAGATTGGCAGAAATGCGAAGACATGCTGAGATGAGACAGGAAGAATCACTACAGATCATGTTGCTGACTTGCTGCATTGTTGATGGCAATTGCCAAAGGCATGAAGCAATGGAGCTGCAAAGGCAGATTGTGCAGATACTAGGGAAGTCAAAACTAGTGTGTGCTCTGGGGTTGTGGAGATCAAAAATTTCTTTTGACACAGCATTTCTGTAAGGTAGCACTGGAGGTAGCATTTACTTCAGTGGAATGTTTCCCTGTTTTTTCTTGAACATACAGAGTTCAGTCTTAAAAGAAACCTGGCAAAACAAAAATGAGATAAAGGCAATAGTTATCCAGGGCAGCTTTTCCTTGGAAAGAAAAGAGATAACCCTGGAAAAGTAGCATGTAGACCTAGCTAACTTCATTAATAAGGCAGGATAAAATGTTTTCTTTAAGTAGGCCAGGTATCCAGCCCAGTCATTAGAAAAACTGGACAAAGCTTGAAGTGGGAAAGCAGAAACTGGGTGTTCCTTTTTGCCTGTTCCTGACCAGCAGTATTAGACCCTGAAGAAGTGGAACCATGAAAATACACTCGTATCTACCAAAAGCAACAGGCATTAATTCCCAGTCTCCCCCTCACCCATCTGTCAGCCGGTTAAGTTCTGACAAATCAAGGCCCAGAATAGCAGAAGAGATGCACTGTTCTCTGTGTGAAATCTGCTGCAGCCCATCACTCCTACACCTTTGAGCAACAAAGCAAACGGCACCGTGTTTTGTAGTTCCAAAGCTATACTAAGTGTACACCTCTGGGATTCTTGTAAGAATACCACGGGCTTGGGAGAAAAGGTGCTAGTAGGCCTATTTCTTGGAGCAAATTTGCCAAACCAAACATAGATAAAGTGAAGAATGTGGCATTTAAGAAGCTGGTGGTTTCCAGGTGCCCAGCTCTTACTGAACTTCACTGGAAGGCCCTTGTGCATAGGTCTGACTGGTTGCTCTTTTCAGCAGTGCCAGGGGAGGTATCAGCTGATACCTTGGTTGTGATGAAAAAGAGAAGTCAACATGCTGTACGAATTAAAGGCCTCTCATAACGCTGCATATTGAGGTCAGTCCCTTTTTGGCAGGTGTAAGAAATAGCATTTTCAAGAGCAGCTTGTCTGAAGCACCCAGCTCTTTTGGGTCCACAGGCTGAGCTTTCCTTTAGCTGGCAGGAAGGGCGAAACAGCAGCCCTAAGTGCAGACGCTGGGCTAGCAGCTTTCTGGAATAGAGCCGGATAATGTAGATGCCTACAAATGATACCAGGAGACAGATCAGAGGAAAAAGTGGATATTCATGGTTTGGATTTACATCATAGCACTTCTCAAGAAGCTAGAAATTGGAGCAATAAAAAGACAGGGTCCTCACTTAATATATGCTCCCATGAAGTTTAATTTACTCCACTTGCATGAAATTTTGAAATGTTTTGCTATAAATGAGGCCAGGACCTGTGGTTTTTTTTTTTGTTGTTGTTCTTTGTTTGTTGTTTTCTCTGTCTTGTCAAAGAAGCCTTTTTTTTTTTCTCTTCAAGTGGAAAAAGTATGCTACACTAGGTGAACAGTCCTTCAACACTCTCCTGGAGAATTATTTTGAATTTAAATCTTTACAGTTATTTGATCCATAGTAAGTCCATCAGCAAATGTCCCCCATCAATGATTTACTACTCTAAACAGTTTTCCTCTAGTGTATTTACCTGTGTTTTGTAGGTCAGCAGTAACTAAGAATGAGGAAAACTTTTGTGGTGTTGTAAATCCTTTGCTTACCTTGGCTTCTCCACCCTCTGTTAGCAAACTGCACTTTCAAAATTCATAGCCAAGCTCAGAAAGGAAGTATTCATGCAGCAGAATTACTCCTGTTGAGTTTTATTCTTGTGTGATTTTTTTCTTCCTGCTACATTCACCTTCTGGTCTGGGAGGGGATTTGAGACTTGGCTGTGGAGCTCCTGGACTCAAGGAGAAACTCACCTTGTGGAAGAGGCTGATCTCAGCAGCAAGCAAGCTGGATCCAGCTGCAATCTGAACAGCAGGCTGTGCAGCCAAGCGGCTACTTACCCTTCGAGTTACTATTCATACTTCATTGGGTGGTGCTAATGGTGGTGGTGGTGGGGGGGGGCAGCTCTCCTGCACCCCATTTGACC